TCGGCTCCAAGACTAGTGGCGATCGATTTTCCGTGGTTCCAGCAAGTTAGCTGGCTTGAGTCGGCCCCGGTTAAGATTACCTATCACACGCCCGACAATTTCATGGCTTGCTGGGTTTGGGAAGGGAAATGCCCGCAGGAGAGGCCATGACAGGATGACAGGGCGAGCAAAATTCCACAGCCCCCCCCTGGTCTAAACACTACTGAACAAGGAGGTGCAGGAACAGGAAACAAACCTGCCGCTTTCCATGCCACGGGAAGTGGTCCATCAATCTCGTTAACCGTTGATCGGGGATGATCAGGGAGTAGATCAACCAACCCAAGTCTATTCAGGAACGACGAGGGCACACGGTATAGGTAAGTCAGTAGTGCTACTCCGTACTCCGTCCTACTGCCTAACCGGATAGTTGACCTTGCGTGAAGATCCTCTGTGGATTTGGGTTCTTAACTACCGAGCTGCTGCCTATTTGACTGCATGAATCAGCCCTCGCGTTCATCGGATAAGTTCAGTCTGGAAAATTCCCGGGTCGTCGGATACCTTACGGATCCCCTAAATGCTAGTATGCGAAGTAGCAAGGTCCCAAGACCAAGGTTCGTCGGTCAACTCTGAATTTTAGACTTCCCATCCGGGTTTGAGACCTGAGTCGGGCTCTCGCTCCGAACCGGAGGCGTCGGTCCTCAGCGTCATGGTGGGGGAGGGAGAATGGTGAAAGCGAAGCAAGAGAGGTTCCAAGTATGGGAGAATACACATGGTAGAGGGCAGTGCCAGCGAGTTTTCAGGAAGAATGGCCAAGAATGAGAGGGTGAGGTAATCTTCATACGGGGAATGTGTATCGACAAGATCCCCGAGGCGTCGACGGCGCCCAGTCCAGACCCAACGTTCGCGTGCGAGACCCATCTGTTCCACGGAATGGCCAATCAGACCCAGTAAAATTAGGAGGGCCTTCTTTAGCCCCACGAGCTAGGCCCGTCTGGGACTCTCATGCGAGGTTCAAGGTTGTTACTGTAAGGATCCCCGATACATACATACAGGTTATCTGTATGTATGTGTGTATCGTCTTTTCTACTCATCGAGGCGGTGCTGCTGTTCTTGTCCAGCGACATGCGAGATGTATCAGACTTTGATCCATCATGGGGTGCTAACAATTTCTTCCCCGGGTGACCGGGGTGGGTTGCGCCCTACCATGCATACATACATACATAGTACATCCTTAAGATTCTGGTCTACCTATTAGCAGTCTCGGGCCACGTCTGGACCATCAAAGTACCAAATCGCTGAAGCTTGCTTTGAGAAATGACTTCATGGATGGAAAAACCGACTGTTCGAGATCCGCTCAAAATCTGTCTAGAAAAGCAAGATTTCCCAGAAACGCGGGCCAGTCATGATCCGGTGACATCGATGTGCTTGCTGGATGAGTACGTGGAATAGCCCTGGCCACCAATTACTGCAATTAAATGGGCGACTAACTCGCCTTAAGCCTCGCCTAACTGTCGGATGAGGAGCTAAATTGGCCAAGGCTATCGGACTAAAAGGCGCGGTATCTAGCCCATCTGCCAACAACCACGACTGATGGCAATAAAGCTGCATGGTTTAGACAAACCTTCGTTCAGGTCACTTAGTTACGGAGTCCCCGGATTATGGTCGGAGCCGTTGCGCTTGGGGACTCACGGGAGACAAAAAAGGTCACTAGCGCTGATGCAATATCCGTCAGCTAGGTAAATATTCTCAAAACCTTGCTCTTGCTCGTGTTTCGTGGTGAGTTATAGTCGATGCGGAGTACACTCCTCCATATTGGGTAGTGTGGCTGCATGAGATAGCCTCTAGGACTTGCTACTATCTCGGATTGTGGCAGGCTGCAGCTCGTCGAACAGCAGAGGCATAGTCACTACACAACTACTACTGGGCAGGGTGCACGTATGGAACTATCCGCAATCATTGGCATGGCTGGGAGTAATAATTAAAGATAAATGCAGTGCTCGCCCTGATGTTCAGCGTGAGTTTGGCAGGAAATGAATAAGTCGCTGGTGGTAGTAGTAGTATATATTCTTCAGGTTTCGGCCCTTGATGTGTACTAATTATTCCACCAGCGGCATCATCAAGTCCTCCCGTGCTATATTTACATTGCACAGACTGCTGCATTTTCCAGTTTCTGTCACGCACTTCTTGGTTCTGAATACCCCCCTCCTCCCAATGCAAGTCGGGAGGCAACCGAGTGTTACTAGCGACACCACCACCTCAGTAGTTGCAGTTGATCTGATCGCTTGATCTTCAAGCAAGATCATGCGAACATCTTCTGCTCAGCTGCAGAACCGGCCGCCGGGGTGTGTGTGGCCAGGAACTAAGCAGCAAAGACCATGGGGTATTGCATTGGCACAAGAGAGACAGACTGGTGACCCCTCATTCTGAGATCGTCCAGGATACATACACATCTGCATGCATACAAACTGCGGAGGGATCGATCTGAAGAGTCATGACATGTCGATAATTAGTGTTTTAATTCTATACTCCAACTAAACTATCAGTAAGAGAAAAGCAGCCAAACGGATGGCGGGGTAAAAACCACCGGCCGGTCACGGGACGGCACAGCTGGTCTTTGACGTTCGCCGTAATCGACGAGGTGCCCGAAAGAGTCACAATTTCGGAAAGTGGGCAAGTATCTGATTGAAGTCCCCAATCGCACAGTCGGTCTTCTCAGCACCCTTTTACGCCCCTTAGATCCGTGACTCGGGGTTCACGACTCGCAATCATGGCGACCGATATGACGAGCCCCATCCTGGACGCCCTGTCCGCGTCCGACGCCTCCATCCTCTCCAGCGAAGCCTTCCCCTCCACCCCCTCACTAAACGTCAAGGCCGCCCTCGACCGTCTAGCCTCTCGACAGATGGTCGAGTATGAGACCTTCGATAAAGAGGTTGCTGTCTTGACCCCCGAAGGTGATGAAATCGCCACAAATGGCAGTCACGAAGCCAAAGTGTTCCAGGCCGTGTTGGCAGCCATGGACGGATTGAAGATCGCCGAATTGCCCGGAGTCGTTGGAAAGGACAACGCCAAGATCGGTCAGGGTAATGCTTTCAAGAAGGGCTGGATCAAGAAGGATAAGGATCTTCTGCGGGCGACGACCGACTCCATCGTGGACGAGACCCGCGAGTTGTTGCTGACGGTCAAGAACACCCAGACTCTGAACGACCAGAAGGCCCTCACAGATCTGAAGCGGCGCAAGCTGGTCGCCCTGCAGAAGGTCATTTCCTTCAAGATCTCCAAGGGTCCCAAGTTCGCGCGCGAATTCGTCAAGGAGGAGACCGACCTGACCGCGGAGATGCTCATGAACGGCTCCTGGAAGACGGCCCAGCTGAAGCCCTACAACTTCAAGGCCAAGGGTGCCCCCACGCCCGCTGGTGCTTTCCACCCCCTGAACAAGGTGCGCCAGGAATTCCGCAACATCTTCTTCGAAATGGGTTTCGAGGAGATGCCCACCAACCGTTTCGTCGAGACGGGCTTCTGGAACTTCGACGCCCTCTTCGTCCCTCAGCAACACCCCGCCCGTGACCTTCAAGATACCTTCTACATCGCCGACCCGGTCAAGGCCGACCCGCCCCGCGAGGACCCAGAGAACGACCCTCACCGTATCAAGTCCATCCAGCCGGCCTCGAACGCCGCCCAGGAGAAGCCCCTCGACTACAAGCAGTACTGGGAGGACGTCCGCCAGGTACACGAGAATGGCAAGTACGGATCCATTGGCTACCGCTACCCCTGGGATGCCGACGAGGCGCTGCGGCTGGTTCTCCGCACACACACCACCTCGGTTTCGACATATGTTCTGCACAAGCTGGCGGCCAACCCCCGTCCGGCGAGATACTTCAGTATCGACCGAGTGTTCCGTAACGAGGCGGTCGACGCCACCCACTTGGCCGAGTTCCACCAGATCGAGGGTGTTATTGCCGACTTTGGTCTCACCCTTGGTGGTCTGATTGGCTTCATGGAGGTCTTCTTCGCCAAGATGGGCATCCACCAGCTCCGCTTCAAGCCGGCCTACAACCCCTACACCGAGCCCAGTATGGAGATCTTCGGTTACCACGCTGGCCTTGGTAAGTGGGTGGAGATCGGAAACAGTGGTATGTTCCGTCCGGAGATGTTAGAACCCATGGGTATCCCCAAGGGCATGCAGGTCTACGGATGGGGATTGAGTCTGGAGAGACCTACCATGATCAAGTAAGTCAGAAACAAACACGATACAGAATGGATCTTCGATACTAACAATGTACCAGATACGGCGTCAGCAACATCCGAGAACTCCTGGGCCACAAGGTCGATCTCGGCTTCATCGAGTCCAACCCTGCTGTCAGACTTGAGAAGGACTAGATTTAGAAGGCAACGAATGACTAGAGAAAAAAATTGGCAGAACTTCTTTCTTACTTATTTTTATGTTGGAACCACCACCCTTGATATCATGACTCCCACATAGATCTACGTGATATAAACCACACAAAACAGGAACCCCGAAACAGAGAAAAAAAAAAGAAAGAGAGAACTACGAAACGAAGGACCACGGTTACGAGTAGAAATGAAAAGCATTCAGTTTTTGAAACTTCAATTTCCTTTTCTCTTCTTCTACTAAATACCTAAGGAGATTTAACTAGATAGATATGTCCCACCCGTATCTGTGCCCCGATGCAAGTCTCAGCAAAGTGGCTCTTCAGCAGGCGGTAAAGCGTAATATTCGGCGGTGGATGTGCGTATTTCTACTTGTCTACCTCCTGACTCATGGGATGTCCCCTGACCTAGAGAAGAGAACAAAAGAGGAATCCAGATGACGGTTTCCTTCTTCTGCTTTCTCTTCTCCGGGGGTTTATTGGGGGGAGTGAGGAAGCCTTGATGTGCCGATGATGATAAGAGATGATATCTAGTGTGTGCTTGCTACAGACGAGAAAGGAAAAGGGTACCCCGACTTTCAAGTGGAGGAAGAGACCAAGGAAAAGGTAAGTGTAGGAAATAAAGATGAAAGCAGGATGGAAATTGAATTGTTGATGGAAAAGTTAAGAAAAGTTTTTTCATTTCATTGTGAAAAGGATTCCCTTTTTGTTGTTTGGAGATATAGTTAAATATCTTCATCCTATACCATCAATATCATTAGTCTTGCGCCTAGCAAACTCCCACATGGTGGAAGTCATAGATAGATAGTTGGTAACGTACCATCATCAATAACCACCCACTTCCAAATTCATCCCAACACCGCACGTCACTCTCTCAAACAAAAGGAGGAGAAAAGAGCTTAGCGCTGACGGGCAGCGGTCCAGACGTTGCGGACGTAGCCGTCACGCTGGGCAAGGCGGTTCAGGGAGTCATCGCTCTCACCACGGGCACGGATGAAACCGCACAGAGCGTAGGTGTGGTTCTCACCGGTGTAGCGGCCGTTCTCGTCAACCTTGGCGATGGAGATCTGGACGGAGGCGTGGTCGTTGGCCTTGATGATGCGGTTGGTGGCGCTGCACTTGCGGGGGACGTAGCTGTAATTGCATTATTAGCATTTTGCCCTTGCCTAGCCTTGTTTCTTTGGCGATTGCGCATGTGCGTTGGTGGGTGATGGTGATGGTCATGGAGATATGCGATGCGATCGGTGTTCGGTATTTCCTCCTCTTTCTCTTGCTTGCCCTTCTCCGTATATTTCGATTTCAGGTCCCTCTCTTTCCATATCGTAGATCCAATCCAATCCAGATCGGACTATGTCCTTCCTCGTCGATCGACAATAATGTCACCCCATCCATCGCACATATCCGCGATAGTGATCCCCAAATCCATATCATGTCATCGTATATCGAGCACCGAATCGCATCCATATCTCCATGTCCATCTCCCGCAACCATCACAGCTCGAAGCAATAAATTTGAAAGGAATGGATACATACAGATCGACGATCTCTCCCTTCTCGTTCTCCATTTTGACGGTTGCTTGGGGGGGTGGTTGAGGTTGACGACGGTGAGAGGTTTTGCGCTGGCGGGTTAAACTGGCGGCGGACGGTGCGTGTGAAATTCCACTTGAATCTTTCTGGCGAACGCGGGTTGTGGGTCATGTGATTGTTTGTCGAGGGCTGATGACTAAGGTTTTTTTGCCGGGTGGGTTGGCTTGGCTGGTTTGGTAGGCGGTGAGGGGTGTGTCTGTGGCAGTGTGGCGGTGTAGATGGTAATAGATTGGGATGTGGCTGGTGAGATGGTAGGTGAATGTTGTAGTATGGTTGTAGGGGAGGTAGAGTGATGCTCTAGAAGAGAGGATTATGATGGTTTAGTTGGACGATAACTCTTACACAGAGTGTATGCCTTGTTATATTCGTCCTCGTATATCATAAGCATCCTCGGACATCAGTAGATCAGACCAGTGTTGATAGAGTGCGAGGGATATGATTCGTTAGAGGCTTTTGATATATGAAGTGGTTTGATTGACATCTAGATGCTGTATATCCGACTACATAGTAAGCCGGCTACTGGAAAATGCACCCATATTCTGCTACAGACGGCTCTCCTCAAATACATCCTTCTTCCACCGCACCACAACCTCTCGAGGAACCCCCTTGATGAACTTTAGCTGTACGACCCGCTCCGCTTCTCCCTTCCGATCAGTACCCTCCAGCTCCGGTCCAGGATGATCCAACTTCATCACAGTCAGGCCATCAGACCCAATCTGCAGCGCCTTCGGACAAATACACTTGTCCGTCCACGGCGGCTGCCCCGAGTGAATGAACTGCAACAATTCCTCTCGCTGCCTCTTCAACTCCTCAACAGACTCCATACCCGGCGTTCCCTGGTTCAGAAACTCCGCCATCAAATGAAGCAGCATGAACTGAGGCGGAAACAGAATAGCCTCGCCCTTCTGCGCCATGCGAACCCATTCCGACGCAGGCAAGAACCTCGCCTCGGAAATCTCCACTCCGCCATCACTCGTTGGCACCTGAATCTCCTCTTTCTCACCCTCATGGGGGATCTCATCCAGAACAGGCTTCTCGATCTCCATCGGCAAGGGTAAGAAATACAGGTACATCTGGGTCGTATACCGTCTCGGAAGTCTGATGGGCGTGAGCCAGCGTGTAAATGGTATCAGTCCTTCCGTATCTGGCACTGCTGCGGGATGCTGTTCCCTTAACCATTCTGCGAATGTCATCTTATTCTGATGGATCGCGCGTCGACCGGCTTCGCGCTGCTCCTGGGCGACAGCCAGCATCTTGCCCGAGTCACGGTCCTTGGCCAGGAGAATGCCGCTTTCCTCGAATAGTTCTCGGATGGCGGCATTTCGATACCAGGGTCCGTCATCGTGTCGAGAGATATCATCTACCGGTGGACATGGCCCGTCCTGGCTGGAGAGGTTCCCTCCCGGGAAGACATGTGCTGATGGGTATGACGTTGATGTCTTGACGCGGTGGAGAAGAAGGATCTCATTATGTGGAGAGATGATGATTACGCTGGGAGCATAGTTAGCCCTGAGTTATACTAAGGTCTGACGCTACTTAAGAGGTAGTAGCAAGGGAGTGAAAATGGTAGGGATGTATGTCGGGAAAGACGACGAAGCTTGGCATATGACGAACCTGGAACTGGGCCGAGGCTCGGCGGGCGTAGACTTGGATCTTGGGGTCTTTCGAGACGCCATAGTCTGATCTGTAGATGTCTGCTGTGACTTGAAAACAGAAAAATTGCATCGTTGTAAAGGGGGACTGAAGGTTCTAAGTGATATCCGGGGCTGCGTAGGTCTATATGGTAGGTCTGAAACTAACAGCCGGCTACCTCGGGCAACTTGCAGCCGGGGTAGGAGGGATTCACAGGCTATCATCATAGTCCTTTCAAAGGAGCGCAGACATTAGTGTCAGCAGAACCCTGTGCTAATGAGATAGGTGAGGGATTGCAATGACAGAGAAAGGTTATTGGAGCCCAGGGTACACGGAATGGACAGGCCGCAGATGGGAAGCCGAGCTGCAGCAGTTCTGCGGCAAGGCTTACTGCGACCCCGCGTTTTCGGCAACAGACCGCCTCTCACTAATTACTGACAGTATCTACGGCTGACGGATTTACAACTTTGAAAACAAAAAAATGTTTGTGACAGATAGATTGGTATTGATGACTGTCATTGGAAGTCTAGGATCATGTATAGAATCATTGAAAAAGGCATAATGCATTGAATAACCCTAACCAAGTCGGTGCGTCACCGCAAGTCGAACTCCTGTTCCCCATGCCCGAGCTTTTGTTTTCATAACAGCCACATATCATCATGTAACAAAACGTATCAACAGAAAGGCTCTTGAAATCAATTAAACAAGAAGGAAATAAGCAAAGAAACTTTGGCACTCAAGCTTTTACCGCTTAAGAGTAGAGTTTCTTGTCGTAGCTGTGGAGACCGTGGACGTTACCCTCGGCCATGGCGCTGGCACTTCTCATCTCGAAGCGGACAGTTCCGTTGTTCACACCCTCGTGCAGAGCCTTAAGGCTGGGAACACCGATATCCTGCAGGGAGTGCTGGACACCAGCAACGAGGTAGGGAACGAACTTGGTGACGGAGCCACGGTCGAGAACGGAACCAGCGACACCCTGAGCAACCAGGACACCGTCCTTCTCAGAGAAGTAACGGGCAGTACCAGCGTTGCTGGCCTTGCTGTCCTTGGAGCCAGCGCCAGCCTTCTTGTCCTCCATGGCGGCGATACTGCCCATACCACGGTAGGACTTGACGAGCTGACCCTCCTTGCTCATGAAGTACTCACCAGGAGACTCGGTGGTACCGGCAAGGAGACCTCCCATCATGACAGTGGAGGCACCCATAGCCAGACCCTTGACGATGTGACCAACGTTCTGGACACCACCGTCAGCAATGCAAGGAACACCGAAGCGAGCGGCGAAAGCGGTGACGCTGCGGACAGCAATGGCCTGGGGACGGCCAACAGCCATGACCTCCTGGGTGATGCAAGCACTGCCGCTGCCCATGCCAATTCTCAGGCCATCGACACCAGCAGCAATCAGAGCTGCGGCTTGCTCACGAGTAACAACGTTACCACCGATAACGTCGATCTCGGGGAAGTTCTGCTTGATCCACTTGATCATCTCAATCTGGTACATGCTGTTACCCTGGCTGCTGTCCAGAATAACGATGTCGAGACCAGCATCAACAAGGAGCTTGAGTCTGGTCTTGTCCTGCTCACGGGTACCAATGGCAGCAGCGGCGATGAGCTGCTTGGACTGGGGGAGCTTGGAGGCAAGGGGGTAGTGGAGGTTCTTCATCAAATCGCTGCGGGACAGCAGTGAGACAAGGTGGCCGTTCTCGTCAACAATGGGGAGCTTGCCCTTCTTGGAGGAACGGAGGACCTCGTTAGCCTCGGCGAGGGTGGTGCCAGCGGGGGCAGTGATGAGGTCAGTGGACATGATGGCGGTGACGGAGTCATCAAGGTCGCGGTGGAACTGGATGTCACGGGAAGTGACAATACCAACAAGCTTGGAGCGGAGGGTTCCGTTCTCTGTTCAAACAAATGCTGTTAGAATCAAGTCTGACTCGAACCAGAAAAGAAGAACATGTTATGATAAAACACAAGGGTCAGATAAAATCTGTTTCTCTACAGTGCTGCTCTCGCTGCTCCAGTGGAACGAAAGTTATAATAGAAAAGAGGATAATCATCACTGTGAATGGGAAAACTGGAAGGAAGTAAGAAAAGTAAAGACTTACCAGTAACAGGGAAACCACCGAAGCCCCACTTGGCCTTCAGCTCCTTGGCCTCGCGGACAGTGGCCTTGGGAGAAAGGACAACGGGGTCGGAGATGAAACCGTTCTCGTATCTCTTGACCTTGCGGACCATCTCGGCCTGCTCCTCAGGAGCGCAGTTGTGGTGGATAACACCCAGACCACCCAGCAGAGCCATGTGGATGGCCATGTTGTGCTCGGTAACGGTATCCATGGGAGAGGACAGAAGGGGAACCTTCAGAGAGACACGCTTGGTGACGGGAGTGTCCAGAGTGACATCGGAGGCAGGGAAGCCTGTGATGGGGCGTATAAGCAACCGAGCACGAACAAGAATCACCAGAAACTCAAGGTGTTCGTCTTACCGATGTATCCGGGCAAGATCAGGAAGTCGTTGTAGGTCAACGCTCCGTGCTTGTCCGAGTCAAGCAGAGTGTCAACGTCCAGACCATCCTGAGTAGTGTAGGTCTTCAGGACCTCCAGGGCCTTGGTGTGGTCCTGGATCTCAGCCTGCATGGCGCGGCCAAGAGAGTCACCGTTGGAGATAGGCATGGTGAAGACTCTACCGGTTCTATCGTAACTCGTCAAAAAGAATGATAAGAGTCAAGAATAGAAAAATAATCAACAGATCGACGATAGAAACGTTCTGTTGATGGAGAAAGTCTTCCTTTCCCAAAGAAAAGAAAGAAAGAAAAAGGAAGAAAAATCGGAGGAGAAAAAAATTGGCTTTTGACTTCTGCCGCACACGCTAGCGATCCCTGCAGAATTCATGCCGCAACGGGTATGGTTTGCCTTCCCGCTGGCTGTTTTGGGCTGTGATTGGCTGCTAAACGAAATCAGGCCAGGCGGTGAGTAAGGAGGGGGTGACATTGAAAGAACCAAATTATTCCATCCTGACTGATGGTTAATAATAGTTCTGAAAATTTTTGCAGTCCCGCTTATCATTTTTTTAAGGAACCGTCGCGGGGTTCGGGGTTAAACTTCCCATGGAGTGATGCCTGATCGCTGCTTGCGGCAATTGCAATGACTTGGATGCTTAGCAGCACTGTTACTGACTGGTCATGTGAGGGGTAGCTTTTCACGATACATTTTATATGAAGTTCTCTCTATCAACTTCGTCTTTTTTCTATTTTCCACTTCGCGCATACGCCAAGATGGGGTTAGCGGCTACTAGTCTCGTTGATAAGATAACTAAGATGCCCACGGTCTTGTCTTGAATGCATGTAACGATACATTGAGCTTGCTGGGGACGTTGTTGAATCTAACTGGATTATTCGCATTGGTGACGCTTTTGGTCCAGATACCATTGTGATTCTCAACAGTAACGTATTAGTCCAAGTGCTGCTGCATAGCTATATGCTCGGACCAAATTAATTCTCACCCCGCAGTGTAGTCCAAGGACCCCGGATTTATATATGAATCACCATCTAGGTGCACTGGTCAAGGCATCTTAAGGTGTACTAGCAAGTGTGCTTAAATAATCAGTTGATATGCGAGGAGTCCTGTCTCTTTATTCTTGGATTTAAATAACGATCTTAAACTTGTCCTTTGCTCCTTGTGATGTCCTCCGCGGGCCCATGGAGCTCTAGAGACGGAACACATATACTGTCGGGCAGATGAGGTTCAATTCAGAAGCAAGGAATAATTACAGATGTGTATAGCCAGGTGATCCAAATGATAGTGCTGATTCATGTTGCCAGGAGTGTTACGGCTATGTCATTTTTCCACCTGATAATTCTGAGGTTGTTGCAGGGCGCAGTGTGACTGTTCCATATAACTTATGGAGAGGGTTACACTGACGCCTCCCCATGTGGCTGATCGGTATCTGCTTCTATGTCTAACCAATCCTCCGTTGGTATTAGCTTTTCCTGTTGAATTAGGCTTCATTAAACATGCGAATGCAAAGGCTTATCAGACTACTCAGTACTCACTGCATTCTGATTGAGCATGGTATATGAACTGTAGCACTAGCCCGGCCAGGCGGCGAGCATAAGCTTGGACTAAACTTCAAGATAGCGATATTAGATACTGCTTTAGCGATATACTAAAGACAATTAAGATTTCAATTGAATCGATTTGGCGAATTCTTTGGTGTGCTACGATATAGTAGATCGGGGGGTGAACTGCGGAGATGTGGTTCGCGGACTTGGTTACGTAGTACAACTATGACGCCAGGGTGACAGAAGGCAAAGAAAGCCGCCCGACCTATATAGGTAGCGCCAAAGCCATGGATTTCTTACTGTTTGAACAATATCTTCTCATAGCAATCATATCGCACGACTCATAGTCACAATGGCATCCGCAATGGGAAAAGAAGGCGTTTTCCAGCCGCCACAGGCAGCTCAATCCCAGAATACGCCAGGGTAATTTCCCCTTCGCGGTCTTTCTCCTCGTTACTTCAATTAGCTTTCTCTCTCTATGAGTATTCTTAGAAGAAGCCAGCGAAGCTAAGAGACAATCTCAGGTTAGAGAAGAAAATGGCACCAGCAAGTGAACCGACCAAGCTGGAATCCAGCGGCACTTTCGTGGAGTATGTCGGTTCTGGAAAACTGAAGGACAAGAAAGCTCTCATCACGGGCGGCGAGTATGTCTCCTATACTGGCATGATATAGGAAGGCCAAAACCAAAAAGCTCACATCCTTGTAGTTCCGGAATCGGCCGATCGGTCGCGGTCTTGATGGCTCGCGAAGGGGCCGACGTCACCATTGTCTACCTACCTGAAGAAGAAGAGGATGCTCAGGATACCAAGAAGATGGTTGAAGCCGAGGGCAAATCATGCCACCTCTTCAGCGGAGATTTGAGAAGTCGCGAAACGTGTCGCAAAGCTGTTGAAGAGCATATGAACACGTGCGTGGCCTTATTATGATCAGTCTACTTACGAAGCTCTATCTCATACTAAGCCCAGGTATAAAAAACTGAACATTCTCGTCAACAACGCCTCCAAGCAGTTCATGTGCAAGGATTTCGCGCAAATAGATCTCGACAATGTTACCAGCACCTTCGAGAGCAATATCATTCAGATGTTCGCTATCACGAAATTTGCCCTTCCACATCTATCCAAGGGCGACTCGTCAGTTCCTCCATTTTCATGGAAACAAGCTGTTTATGGCTGATTTGATCTGCAGCATTATCAACACCACATCTACCGTGGCATTCCGAGGCACAAGCGGTATGGTCGACTATAGTGCGACTAAAGGTGCTATTGTTAGCTTTACCAGATCATTGGCAGCACAGCTGAAGACGAAGGGTATCCGCGTTAATGCAGTGGCGTAAGTTCGAGGGTCCATGTTGACAGTTAAGACAAATGCTCACTGTTAATTCGGCAGTCCTGGTCCAGTTTACACTCCTATTCAGGTCGATACTCGAGAGCCCGAGCAGATGGAGAACTTCGGCGCAGGATCTTCCATCGGTCGACCTGGTCAACCAAGCGAAGTCGCAACAAGCTTCATTTTCCTGGCTAGTGCAGATGCTGCACTGTTCTGTGAGTAAATCTTCGCCCCCTAGCGACAAAGGCTGCCAACAAACCTCTGACGTTTTCTGACTCTGAAAAAGATGGCCAGGTTTTGCACTGCTATCCTCTAGGGGATTAAACAAAGCTTGAAGCCGAGGACGAGTTGTCTATGAAGCCACACGAGGGAAAAAGTACAGTGTCAAGCTCCACGAACCGATGCAACTTGGCAATCGTTTCATTTCTAAAGTTAGCTCCAGGGCGTCCTCGTACCTCTAAACCATTTGATGTGAAAATATGTACATGTATGATAGTTCATGGGAGTTGAGTGATTTGTAATGCGATCAATACAACAGCCACGGTTTCGCCTGCAGGAGGGCTTTATCCCAGCCCTCATCATTCTTCCAGATAGCAACAGTCTCTACCTCATCCTTACCCAGCTTGAGATCATTGTACAGATGCTATCCAGAGTTTTCCGATTAGTTCTAACCCTCTTCTCTGTAACCATACATGGGGTTGAGGAAACATACTGGGAACAAGCCCTCTTTCGGTCGCGGTCCACAGACCGTCCCGTCAGGATTCTCCCACCGGACCTGGCCGGCTATGCTCTCAAAGGGAATCCGGAGCACGTAGACCAGCGGCTCGTCTTTAAAGAACATTTTGAGGGTATTCGGTACTTGAAATGCTGTCGAGAGGTGTACGAATCCCGATTTCTCATCCAGCTCGCTAACCGGCAGCCGATCGGGGAGAGGTTCCCGTACCGGAGACGTCGAGGGAATCAGCTTGTAGACGTAAAGGGGCTCGGCGTCTGCCATTTTTCTCTTTTGCTCAATGATGTAATCACCCGTTGGGACTTGTAGAAGGGGTTATAAAGAATTTAGTGGTAGTTGATTGTGTTGTAGGTCTGTATCCTAGTCATATAGGTAGGCGATATATCGACGCTAGTAAGTGGGTGGTGGGACTGGTCATCCTTGACCCCTCCATAAGTTGTTCATCGATCGCGTCGGACTCTTTGTCCTCCAGGACTCCCGTGACCGGGGGTGTGTAGTATCCGAACTTTTTTCAACCACACGGAATGTGTCTACTTTTCTTTGATGATTGGTGGGCTAATATTTAGATGGTTTGTCATCTGCTGCAAATTTACTGAAGGAGTAAACAATATTTTTGATCCTGGCGTTTTGACCAAGTCCCCGCATGCGTTTCCGATAAGATAGTAGTAGTGGAATATATGTTGGTCAATATATATTAACGTTAGTACTAGCGAGACTGAGGGGTTCGGCCACGTCTGACTGAAAGAAATCGGTTCAATATCCATATGGATAACTTGATATCATACTTCAACATACAAGGTATAGACTAATGAAGAATTGAAGCTGATCGTGGGCGCACATAATCTTCACAAGATTAAACAATTTTCGGGTTTACATGCAGCATCCAGAGTACTAGTTCCGTGGACTTGCGACATCTTCTATGTACTTACTCAGCGGGAGTAATAATATATTCTCTGCATATGTTTCTGCAACGAGGAACTTGTCTGTCTCCTATATCGATCGATCAGACACATTCAAGCTAGTAACCACAGTACTCAAGCCACAGAGATCTGTGGCTAAGATAGGGATCGACGTCACTGAACCAGGTATCGGAGAGTAACAGTCACATGCCCGTGCACGCCATGCCAAATCGGGAGATTTGTTTTTGCCCTTGCTGGGGGGCTGGGGATCGTTCCTGCCTCCGATTTACTTGGTAGCTGAACCCCCCGCTTTAGCGCTGACGGCCCTCTTTCACTCTCCCTCTCTTGTTTATTTCTGTTGCTGCAGCATCCATCGTCTGTGTTCAAGTTTCAATCCATCTGCACGCAATTCGGGCTATCGAAAACCTGCCCGCCGGTTGCGATCCCTCAATTCACTCGACTCTTCCGACAATCTCGGTGTTCCTCGTGCCCGTCTTGTCTTATCTCCCATTTCTGATCCTTGCCTTATCAGGCCATTTCAGGCACAAGCCCTGCCGTTTCTACATCAACCGATTCTTCCCGGCCCAATTCTTTCCGTTACCACAGGATTATGCCGCCTCTCCCTTGGATGAACATTCCATCCCAGTGATATCCCACGCAACCGCACGACTCTGGTCGGTTTGCTGCTTCGGTCCGGGAGGCAGGTATGCGGCCAATTGAAGTAGAGTCTCTTCCATCTCCATTGGTTATCGCATTCTTTCTCTCAAATCGGCACCCGTGATGTCAAGCAATTTAGCATCGTCCCGACGCACACAGACGGATTTGCCAGACCAAACATCCAATCCACTGCGCCATGGATCAACCGCTTCCACGAGCTCGTCGTTATACACCGTCTCATCAAGTTCATTTGCTCCCAGTCGCACGAGCACCGTCTCCTCCACCGCGTCATCTGGGTCCCTACCCGGCCATAGACGGGGCAAGAGTGAGGTAAACACACCAATCTCCGAAGCAATGGCTGGAGGCGCTTCCGAGGGGAAAAGCTGGGCCAATGCGGGCGCGACCTATGAGAACATCCGCCGCTCATTGCGACCACTTTCCCAAGCCCCCAACTCGTCTCCTGTAGCTGCCAAGCGAGCAGCATTTCGTCATTCTCGAAGCCAGACTGTCGACAATCCTCAATACTGGAAGGAAAATCGCCCACAGACCCCCGAATCACGTCCTGCGCAGCCTCAGGATGTTGACACATTAAAAGAGAAGCCCTCATACATCGATCAAAGCCCCACGAAAACCGGTTCGCCGCATGCTGTCTCACCTCATGCCAAGTCACAAGTAAAAGCGCACCATGCACATAGTTTGTCCAACCCACCGCCGTTCACCCATACCCTGTCGGCCCCCGAGCTAGAGACGTTCCAAAAATCGTCAACCGGCCACCTGCGGACCCTCTCAAAGTTTGCGAAATCGGGTGAAACCGAAGAATTTGCGCTTGATAGTTATGGGGCATCTGTGGTGGGATTACAGGGACGACGACGCCTAAAGCGCGCCGATACGGTGACCGGAAACAATAGCCCCGTAGCACGAAAGAAACCGGCAGCATCAGCATGGACGGCTGGGAGCTGGATGGACAAGCAGCGTCAGTTCCTCCAGGCTTACGAGTACCTTTGCCATATCGGAGAAGCAAAGGAATGGATCGAAGAAGTTATTCAGAAACAAATCCCGCCGATTGTTCAGTTGGAAGAAGGCCTGCGTGACGGAGTAACGCTGGCTGAGGTGGTACAAGCTATGTACCCAAACCGAACCTTTCGAATCTTCAGACACCCGCGACTTCAGTACCGTCACTCTGACAACATCGCACTGTTTTTCCGGTTCTTAGATGAAGTCGAGTTGCCAGAGCTGTTCCGGTTCGAGCTTATTGATCTTTACGAAAAGAAAAACCTCCCGAAGGTCATTCACTGCGTCCACGCCTTGTCATGGCTGATGTTCAAGAAAGGCCTCGTCGATTTCCGGATGGGTAATTTGGTGGGCCAACTGGAGTTCGAACATCATGAACTCGAGCAAACGCAAAAAGGCCTCGATAAGGCGGGCGTCAGCATGCCTAGTTTCTCAGGGATGGCTGCCAACTTTGGAGCGGAACCAGAGCCAGAACCGGAGCCTGAGCCGGAATCCGAGGAAGATCGCATTCACCGTGAATTACATGAAAGCGAAGCCTCGATCGTTGATTTCCAAGCTCAGCTTAAAGGAGCGATGCTGCGACTGAAGCTTGGCAACTTGATGAACGATCTATGGGATTTCGAACCGTTTTTGGTAGAACTGCAGTCCAGGATACGCGGAGACTGGGCTCGACAAATTGTTCAATACCGACTGGATATGCGAAAATTCGCTGTTCAATTACAAGCGATCTGCCGAGCTTTTCTGGTCCGACAGCGGCAGAGAGGTGACAAGGAAAATTACCAGGCCCAGGAAATTGATGTACTGCGGCTGCAGACCCTGATCCGGGGAGCCAAGGCAAGGGCTCAAGTGGACCGTGTTCGAAGTTGTATGCGGAAAGAGGAATCGGGCATCAAATTGATTCAGGCAGCACTACGAGGCGCATTGCAACGACAGAAAGTGTACGATCTTTGCGAGGGCACAAGAGGTGCGGAGGAGGATGTTCAACTGCTGCAGGCTGCTATCCGGGGTGCTCTGCAGCGCAAGCAACTCGCAGCGCAATACGAAGAAACTCACTCGGCTGAGACAGACGTAACTGAGCTCCAAGCCCTTATCCGAGGTGCGCTTCAACGCAGTCAGCTGGCAAAGCAGTACGATGCAGTGCAGTCTGCGGAACCTGACGTGGTCGAGCTCCAGGCCCAAATCCGCGGTGTCCTTCAGCGCAATCGGCTTGCAGAACAATATGAAGCAACACGAGCGAGAGAGGAAGATGTGACAGTGCTTCAAGCTTTGATCCGGGGTGCCTCTGTCCGTCAGCAGATGAGCACACAGAACGAGGCCATGAATGCGACGACAGCAAGCAGCACGTCTCTGCAAGGAATCATTCGAGGAATGCTGACCCGGAAAGGTATCGAAGAGACAAAATCGTTGCTCTTGCAGGAAGTACCTTCAATTACCTCCGTTCAAGCAGGCGCGCGGGCCCTTGCAGCCAGAAAATTCCTATCGCAGCAAGCAGAAGCGCTCGCAAAGACAGCAAATGAGTGCGCCTCTCTCCAGTCAATTGTTCGCGGTAACGCTCTTCGAGCCGAGCTTGACCGTCTTCGACAAGATCTGAGCGAGCATGTGCCATCCGTCATCGACATCCAAAGCATCTCTCGAGCAAATGCTGTACGATCCTTCCTGAACTCTCAACGCGAGTCTCTTGAGGAAGAGGAGACGTCCATTTTGGCCCTGCAGTCTATGGCTCGGGCAGTCATACTCAGGAGAAGGCTCGAAGCAGATGCGCAAGCTCTACAGCAGGAAGCACCGGTCATAAACAATCTTCAAGCTCTTATCCGCGCCGCAATTCTCCGCATCGACGTGGGCGGCATCTTGGAGGAGCTCGATGACTGCGAGTATGAAATTAGCCAGTTCCAAGCACAGATAAGAGCCATGCTTGTTCGGGTTGACGTTGGCCAGACTCTTGCAGATCTGGCAGCTGCCGAAGACGTCGTTATGGACCTTCAGTCACACATCCGTGGACATCTTGTTCGTTCCAGATTCGAAGAGAAACGCCGCCATTACCGTGAAAACATGGATAAGGTGATTAAGACGCAAAGCTACATCCGCGGTCGAATTCAGGGTCAAGCCTACAAGAGCCTCACAAGTGGAAAGAACCCGCCTGTAGGAACTGTCAAGGGCTTTGTGCACCTGTTGAATGATAGCGAGTTTGATTTCGACGAGGAAATTGAGTTTGAGCGAACACGAAAATTGGTTGTCCAACAGGTCCGACAGAACGAACTGGCAGAGCAATACATCGGCCAGCTCGATATCAAGATTGCGCTCCTGGTCAGGAACAAGATCACGCTTGATGAAGTCGTAAAACACCAGAAGCATTTTGGTGGCCACGTTGGAAGCCTTCTTCCAAACCGGGAGATTTCTTCCAAGGATCCTTTTGACCTGAAAGCTCTGAATAAGACATCTAGAAGAAAGCTAGAGCAGTACCAGGTTTTGTTCTTCCTTCTTCAAACCCAGTCGCAATATTTGGCGCGGTTATTCCGACGCCTGCGTGAGCTCAACACGCCCGAGAAGGAGTATGATCGGATAAGGCATCTGATGATGGGTCTCTTTGGATACTCGCAGAAGAGACGTGAAGAGTACTACCTCATCAAGCTTCTTGCACGTTCCGCCAGGGAAGAAATCGAAAGCTTCGACTCGCTCCATGAATATCTGCGGTGCAATTCTTTCTGGAGTAAACTTTTCGCATCCTACATCAAGTCCCCACGGGATCGAAAGTTTATGCGTGATATTCTTGGAACTGTTGTGAGGGAGAATGTGGTTGAGAACCCAGAGTTGGACTTGGAGAGCGATCCCATACAGATCTATCGCTCGGCCATCAACAACGAAGAGCTCCGGACCGGCAAGCGGAGCCGACGCCGACTGGACATCCCAAGAGAAGAGGCAATCAGAGATCCAGAGACGAGAGCGACGTTTATTCAGCATCTTCAAGACCTCCGCGATATTGCTGACCAATTCTTTTCTGCTTTTGAGGAACTACTGTACAGGATGCCTTTCGGTATTCGGTATATCGCGAAACAGATGTACGAGAGCCTTCTCGCTCGATTCCCCAAGGAGAACCCCGGCTTCATCCTCCAGACAGCGGGCCATTGGGTGTGGAGAAACTACTTCCAGCCTGCAATGGTCGAGCCTGAGAAGTATGGTGTGATAGACCGTGGCTTGACCCAGGAGCAAAAGCGCAATCTTTCAGAGATCTCGAAGGTGATCGCGCAGGTAGCATCCGGTCGACTTTTCGGCGCAGAAAATGTCTACCTCCAGCCACTAAATTGCTATATCGGAGATTCTATCCAGCGGCTTGGTCAGATCTGGGGTGACAGTGAGTATTTCATAACTTATGATCTTTGGGATGATGCTGACTTTTTCGTAGTGGTCTCCGTTCAGGACGCTGAAAGCTATTTCGACATCGATGAATTCAACGACCTTTATGCTAAGACAAAGCCTACTTTGTATATCAAAATGTCTGATATCTTCTCTATCCATCAGCTTATCGCCAGCGAAATTCATTACATCTGCCAGAACCCGGATGATATCCTGAAGGAGGTCATTCGCGACCTGGGTAACGTCAAGTCCAACGAGAGTGAGCTAATGAGCGTTAACTCCTCTGAGATCAATCTCACCTTGAACCCCAAGCTGGCACAGGTTGAAGGTAAGCCCGAGCACTTTCACCACTCACAAATATGCCTGGAGACTGACAGTTCAAACTAGACCCAGAAGCGGATGTGAAGTCTTTGTTCATGGAAACCAAGAGATGCATCCTCTACATTATTCGCGTCCAAACAGGCGCCAATCTGATGGACATCATGGTTAAACCACCCACCGAAGAGGACGAAGCCAAATGGATGACGCTGGTTCGTGACGAGTTGAGTGCAAACAACACACGACGGAGCCCTTACTCGGAAGCCACCACCATGGTAGACCTTGCCTCTATGAGTTACACGGAGTTGAAGCAAACGGCTCTGGAAAACATTCTTCAACTCGAACGAACCGGTAAAATCCGGCGCGATAATTACTACCAGGATCTTCTGAATGCGATTGCCATCGATATCCGCACAAAGCATCGCCGGAGAATCCAGCGGGAGCGGGAATTGGACAGCGCTCGGATGACGCTTGCTCGCCTCAACGACCAAGCTATTTGGCTGGATCAACAACTCAAGACTTACAACGACTACATCGAGCAGGCCATGGTGACCTTGCAGAACAAGAAGGGAAAGAAGCGGTTCCTTATGCCCTTCACCAAGCAGTGGGATCACCAACGAGAACTACAGAAGTCCGGCAAGGTCTTCAAGTTTGGATCCTACAAGTACTCGGCCCGCAATCTGGCGGACCGGGGTGTTCTCGTTCACTGGAAGGGATACACTGAACGACAGTGGGATCGGGTCGACCTTACCATCTCGAGTAACGAAGTCGGAGTTTTCACCATTGATGGAAGCAGTGGACCGATGATGATCCCGGGAGCCAACGCGCAGGTTCCGTTGGACGACCTACTACAAGCCCAGTTCAATAACATGCAGTTCCTGGACTTCTTCGATGGGCACTTACGAGTCAACGTCAATCTTTTCTTGCACCTGATAATGAGAAAGTTCTATAATGAGTGATGGAGCGGTTTGATGCTGGATCATGATCTTATTCCGTCTATTACGTTTCATGTGTTGATGTTTTCTTCTGTTTATGTTTTTGTTGTCTGCATTTCTTTGAGATATCCCTTCCTCTTGCTATCATGTTGACGATGAAAAAGAGCTCATCTGGAAAGATGCCTGGAGTGGGCATGGTGGAGATGAGCCTTCGAACTCTTATACCTACTGAATATGTTTTCCTGTATCCCTCTGGTTTGCTATGCAAGGTGTCTTTGGATGCTTGAGCGCAACCGCCCGCATGTTATGTATGTATGGCCTAAGCCTGCCTCGACGATGATTGAATGAATACCATAAGTGTACGTATCCTTAAAGTGAGAGTCTTTGTAGTAGCCAGTAGTAAGAGAAAATAATAACCATCATCATTCTGTCATGATTGAGTGTCATCTGTGAATAAGTTGTTTCAATGAAGGGAGGGCGAGCCATGGACGGGTCAGGGGTCGCCACGTGACGGCTTGGGGCCCAACGGCGATCGATGCCAGCTGGAGGCGATGGCATCTCAACTTCCGCCTCTTCCTCCACTGCTGCTTGCCCTCCTGTCCTTGTTCCCGCAGGTCTTTCCTGTTACGGTTTCAATTGATTTGTGCTAGATTCTCCATCTGTGCTGTGTGCGCCATGGATTTCTCCAACCTCAAAGAACAGGTCAGCAACCTGACCTTGTATGATCTCAAGGCGGGAGTCCGCAAGGTCCAGAATGGTACGTCCCCGCGGTGACCCCAGAACGCTTTCCTGTCATTTTGGATGGCCTCGGATTCTGTTCCTTTGATGCAGGCGATTTACTGATTCTTATAGCGGTCATGAACTATACCGAGATGGAGGCCAAGGTCCGTTCCTATTATCCCGCCAGTTCCGTCCCGCCACGAGCCCCGGGCCTCCGCACCCCGTGTGGTTGTATCCCTTGAAGCACAACACTCACAGTAGACAGGTCCGAGAAGCTACAAACAATGAACCTTGGGGTGCTTCGAACACACTTATGCATGAGATTGCCAGTGGAACCCACAGCTAGTCAGTGTTTCCGCCCCCGTCGCATGGCCTAGCGAGGACTCCCCTGGAGTACTAATGACGTGTCGCAACATACAGTCAATTGCTCAACGAGATCATGCCTATGATTTACAAGCGCTTCACAGACAAGACATCGGAGGAATGGCGACAAATCTACAAGGTGAGTCCTGTTCTCTCCTATTCTCTCCGCGACACATGTGGACCACGGCTTACGATGCGCGACAGGCGCTCCAACTTCTAGAGTTCCTTGTCAAGAACGGATCCGAACGAGTTGTCGACGATGCCCGCTCCCACATGTCCTTGATTCGGATGCTTCGCCAATTCCACTACATCGACCAGAACGGAAAAGACCAGGGTATCAACGTGCGCAACAGGTCATCGGAGTTGGTTAAGCTGCTCGGTGACGTCGACTTGATCCGCTCGGAGAGGAAGAAGGCCAGGGCCAACCGCAACAAGTTTGGTGGATTTGAGGGTGGCTCGCACATTGGCGGTGGCATGTCCAGCTCTAGCTCCGGCAGGTATGGCGGCTTTGGCAGTGACAGCCTCTCGTTTGGTGGATACAGTGGAGGTGTCTACGGTGACGGTGGTGGATTCGGAGGCAACACAGGCGATTTCGGGGACTCCGGGAGACGTTCCAATCGCTTCGAGGAATATGACGAGTATGATGAGGGCGATGCTAGTCCCCCGCGCCGGCGCGGGCCCAGTCCTCCCCGTGCTAGTGCTACTCGCCAGGCCAAACAGCCGGCCGCTCCTGCTCCTAAGGAACCCGAGCAAGACTTGTTCGACTTTGGAGAGGAGGAGACTGTCGCGACATCTGTCAGCGCTTCCAAGAAGCCTGCCACAGGCAATGGCCTAGATATCCTCGACACCAAGCCTGCTGACGACGACGACTTTGACGATTTCCAATCCGCCACGCCTGCGCCTGCGCCTGCGCCAGCATCGTCAGCCCAGTTTGCCATTCCCCCGCCGGCCTCCACCGTCAGCACGACCTCCAGCACGCAGTTCGCTGCCCCCAAGCCAGTCTCGGCCACCCAGGGCTCGAACCTGAACGGCATTGTAGGCTTCACCTCGATGACCCCTACCCCGACCTCGAGCACGATGGCGTCTCCCACACTCTCTCAGAGCTCCCTGGCACAGGCCCAGAAACCCGCGCAACCCAAGCCTAGTGGCTTCCAGGCCGCCACTCCCAACTACTTCACCTCTGTTTCCACCCTCTCCAACACGACTCAGCAACCTGCTATGGGTCACCGCCCCAACATGCCTTCCACCTCCTCTTTCACTTCCACCACGCCCTCTACCCCCTCTGCCGCCAACAAGCCCGCTGCCCCCAAGGCATCCGGTGACGTCTTTGGATCTCTCTGGTCCACCGCCAGCGCCAGCGCCGGTATTCAGAAGAACAATACGGGCGGAAACAAGGGCCCTAACCTAGCCAGCATGGCCAAGCAAAAGGCCAGCGCCGGCATCTGGGGCGCTCCCGCTGCTTCAGGCAGTCCTGCATTCAACCAGAGCAGCAGCAGCGGGGTGCCGAAGACAACGGGAAGCTCTGGCCTAGACGACCTACTGGGCTAGGTTGATGACTATCTCAGCTCGACCTTTATGTCGTTGTCTCCTTCTTTTACCCCGCTTAGCTGAATGTTCTCTTTTTCTTTTTTGGCACTGTTCGAGTGACTGTGTGTATACCGTAGTACGAATATTTCTTCTCTTATTTTATTTGCTTGCGTGCAAGATCTAAAATAGCAGGCCTACCCTAACTCACTTTTCTTCTTTTTTCATCTATTCTGCTATCTACCTATTGCCTCTAGCCGATTCTTCGTGTGACTACTCCAGATATATTCTCGTTCTCCCGTGGCATAATAGCTCGGCCCCCCTATTCCCTGGTATGATATGGTATGGTACGTTACTTGATAACTCAAGGGTACCCTTGAACCTATCCTGTACTCCTTTCTCTATCGAAAAGCAGAAAAGTTCTATAGGATGCAATTTAATTAGAATTGACTTATCAACTTGATATATGTAGAATCCAACATAGATAGCCATCTCCTATACAATCCTACCCTAATCATGATATACCCTCGAATACTAACGCAGACCTAACTAAGTCCCTTTAATCCCTTCCAGTACTGCTAAGCAACAACTCAGGATGAACCTCCTCCTCATACCCCTCCCCCACCCCCCTCCCCACCGCCGGCCTCTCCTCAATCCTCTCAATCCACCTCCTCAGCAGCGGAAACCTACCCATCTCCTCCTCCGTAATCGTCATCCTCTTCCACGCCCTTATCCACGCATACGCGTTGATATCAGCAATACTATATCTCCCTCGTCCCTCGCCCACCAAATACTCCCTCGCTTCACCACCATCATCACCAGCCAAACTATTAGATAGATGCAATTCCAGCACGTTGTAGATCCGAAGCGTCTCGGTCTTGAATTTCTCAATGGCATCTTTCATCCAAAAAAAAAAAAAAAAAAAAAAAAATACCATAAGCACATTGCCCTTGAATAATATCTACAATAGTAGAGAGACAGCGGAAGGATTGGTATTGGTGTACTTACAAGAATCCACCACCCCCGCGAACCTCTTAAAATGATTCAACCCCGCTTGCTGAGGCTGCCCCGACGCAGACCAGAAGAATAACCACTGAATAAGTTGAGATTTGTGCACCGGTGAGGAGAAGTGGAAGTGGAAGTGGTAGTCTGGGTCGTATGTTTCGACGAGGTAGATGAGTATAGCGGAGGATTCCATTACCGTTATTGGGGTGGAGGAGTTGTTGTTGTTGTTGTTGTTGTTGTTGGTGTCGATGAGGAGGGGGATTTTGCCTACAATCCCTTTGAATTCAGTACATGTCTTCCTGCCCAGGTGGGTTTCAAAAGTCAAAGAAAAGAAGGGTTGGGGTCTGACCGTTAGGATTCAGCGCCAGAAACCACGGCTGCTTCTGCTCGTCGGTCTCGAGGTCGATTAGGGTTATGGTCCATTGTAAGCCGTATTTTGCGGAGAGTTCTTCGAGGAGGATTTGGACTTTTTTGCCGTTGGGGGTGCTGGTTGTTAGGAGGTGGAGGCCCTTTCATTTATGGGAGTTGTGAGGATGGTGTATTGAGGGAGAGTAGGGTGAAGGGTTGGGTAGGGGGTTACCTTTGTGTTTTTAATTCTTGGTGGTGTTGTTGGTGTGAATACTGGGCTTGTCATTGTGGTGTTAGGTATTGGGTGTTGTAGGGTCAGGTTTCGTTAGATTGGATAGTAGTAGTAGTAGTAGTAGTAGTAGTATTTATATGTCAATCTCACCATAGCATGATGGCATCATCCAATCCTTGTCCGACGGATGTCCGGATTGATCACAGAGTAGTAGGCATCTAGCCCTTCTTTGAATGCTAGGCATCAACTAGAATCCCGGTTTGAACTAAAGAAAGCTCGGCTTAGAGGCTCCAGATCCCTGTCATGGTAATATAGTCTTCGGAATATGTAACTAAATCCTTGACCTGAAGGGTATTACTCTCTCTTGGTTCATCAACTAGGACTATTGGTCACATTTGTGGAGTTGTGTCGAGGCAGGGACATGCCATTACTACCAACTAACGTATTACTGGCATTGGTTGAGATGAGTTTGACTGTGGTCGTACTGTACTAATTAATACTACGGAATATCTTAGGACAGGAAAATAAATAGTAGTCAACATTGCTCATAAATCACATATGATATAGATAAAACATAACTAACGCTGTTGGAGGTATATGAATACTTCGATCACACGCTGTATGCTAGGGAATGCCTTTGTTTTCACAGAAAAGCAAGCAAGCCAGCCTACAACCATAATCTAATGCATTGACGCCATCGCTCAAGTACAGAAACATATATACAGGCACATTTGCCCTCCCCTTTCCCACATTTGAAACAGTCACCCTCATCCTCATCCCCACCCTCACTCACAGTCTCTCCACATCTCTGCTATCCCTCTCCCTCGTCATGAAATGATCATATCATGCATGCATGCATTCACAAACAGCCGTCCCGTTCAAATGGTGGTATTCCAACAATAGCAGTTCCAGCCGGGGAACAACAAGAACAGTAAGGAAATATAAAAAGAAGAAATGAAAAGAAATAGGATGATGCAGTCATGTTTGGGTCGAGGTTCATCGGCCCTCAGGAGAGTAACATGGCCAGCAACTATTATACTGGGTCACAGATTCATCAGAAGCTGAGATCATATGTACCTCCGTAGCAGGACATCATGTCCCAGTATTGCAGGTATGAAACTAGGCCGCCTTCTTTTCAGGAAGGTCTTGCGGGGCTTCGAGCCCCTGATCTTCTGCCGGGAAATGTGACATGTTCGAATCCGTCTTGCCACCGCTAGCCAGCTGCGAAGACTCCCTCTTTGCCCCGTTGGAGACATGCTCGACGTTAACGTAGGTCGACTCCAGTGGGAGCTGTTCATCTTGCGTTGGTGTGATAGCTTGCTGGGAATCTGTCGACTCGGGGCTCAGGTACGTGTTGTTCTCTTCGTCCGCATCAGGCTCGCCGTTCAACGACGTCAGCCCTCCCTCAATATCTCGAAGCAGACGCACAAACTCCTCTGGTACCAGCCCGCTCTCTCCAGTCTTGGGATCCTCCGCAACAAGCCAGCCCTGGCCGTGCCGGTACGAGACAAAGATCACCTGCCCTTCAGTAAGGGGCAGCTCATTCTCATGCTCTCTTGTGAAATCGAACAGTGCAACCGCTTTTCCGTGCATCTCCTCATCAGGGCACCCCACAGCAAACTGGAAGTCACGCGAGTACCGATGATCCCCGGCATAGTCGTCTTCAGAATCAAAGTCCGCCTCATGTCCATAGGCTTGATAGTCATATGAGCCCACATGAGAATAACGGCTCTCGTTCGCCGGATAGGTGACATACTCGCCGCCCGGTCCATCCTCCAAAGCGTCGTCATCGTTCACATAGTACGTCTCACTGCCGTCCGCGTTCATACTGACAAGCGTACCCCGATCGGTATCTGCCTCATAGCCCATGCCTCGATGCTCGCGGCCACCAGGGCCCCTGGCTTTCCGTCCATTAAGGTCAGTTCCGGTGGACTTGTTTTTCCGGTGACGCGGGGCGGAAAAGACTGGGCTGTGCAAGTCTTCATCCTCGCTATACGGCGGTCCATCGCCAAAGGACATGGCGGGAAGTTGCTGGTGCCCATAGCTGTGATCGGTAGTCCACGGTCCCACGGACCATTGGCCACGAGAACTATCCCACGGGGCCGGAGGATCGGACAGGCGCCGTTGCTCACTTGCCGGGGTGGACACCACCGATGCACGAGGCGGCAATGGGCCGTAGTGAAGAGGATGAATAGGAGGATACGCAAAGTCGCGAACCAGCGCATACGGTAAGCTGGAATGAAAGACAGGAAAGACGTGGGATCCCGGCCGCGACCGATTCTGAGAAGCTAAGGAAACATTAGAGTGCGTGGAGAGACGATCCTTTGCGTACGAAGAGGATCGCTGACGGCCCTGCCGCTTAACTGGGGAGTCTGTGATTATGGGAGGCAAAACCGTTAGGTTCGAGGAAGCCGTTGGCTGCGATGAGGGGGCCGAGGTTGTGGAAGCCATGATGATGGTCATGAGTCCTCAAAGGTAATGATCAGAGCGGAAGATGGAATGATTACGTGTCGAAGATGTCGTGTGAGGTAATGTCGGGTCGGATGTTTGTCGCTTGAGAGGGGATAGAAAAGCTGGAGAACCGGTCCGCCCTAGTTTCGCATCGCGATCGTTCTTCCACGAAACTCTACTGCCAGATCCCGCCCGAAGGTTGTTTCAAGGAAACTCTCGCACCAAGAATATGTATGCGAAAGCATGCGACTCAAATCGGAGGGATGTCTCGTGAGCTCCTTGCGTACAGCACGATGCAGATCTGGGACTGGGAGGACGCTGCGCGCCGAAACAAGTCTGAATCAACCGGAGAGGGCACTAGACGACCGGCGACAAGTTAATGGACTGCGGCTAGACGCCAAAGAAGCGAGGTGGCCGCAATGGGATGTCTGACAGGTCCGGGTATAATCGACAGCGAACGGACAGGTACAGCGCGGCTATCGACCTCAAGAGCAAGCACCGCGGGGATCTTCGATGACGGGCAGCTGTTCCCCTCTCTCTTTCTCGGGCCAAGAAATATTAAACACAACGACGATGACTGCACCGACCAGGCGGCTGCAGGGGTGGCAGACAAGATTTGATGAGCGACAGCCAATGCCCGGGGGAGGAGAGGTTTGCAGCGAAGCAGGTGGGAAAAAAATAAGAGGAGGTTGTTTCGAGAGCGTTTTGGTCCCGCGCTTGGGAGTTCGGGATGGTCGAAGGCAAAACTGGGGATGCTAAAATTAGCAACGAGGGCAGGGCCAAAAAAGCGCCACTCTGAGAGGACGGCGACTACCGAACCCAATGACAAACGGGAGATAAAAAGAGGGGAGGCAGGAAGGGAGGAGATTGATTGATTAATTGATTGATTGATTGAATATTGAGGGGGGGAAATAAGAAAGAGGGGATGAGCGCCAGGAGAGGAGAGGACAAGACACTCAGCTGCAGGAAGCAGGAGAAAGATGACACACAGGATAAGGGACAGTGGAGCGAGAAAGGCAGAGAGAGCGAAAGAGCGAGAGCGAGAGGGAATGAATGAATGGTAGGGGCGAGAGGGTGCGACAAGAGGCTTGCCAGTGCCGGAGATTACTGCTAACTTACCTGCCGTGAAGGCTCCGACTGAAGCGTTAAGGATCAACGAGGCGCAGTCACCGATGCGGTGGAGTTCAAGGATTCAGAAACCCGCTGGCATGCAGGGTCACTGTCTTTCGAGGCCGGGCAGTCAGGCAATTGAGGGTTTCTCCAGGGCAAAAAAAGGGAGGGGAGTAGACGCAGTTGAACGGGGTGAATAGTCCGGGGGTCTTTCCTGACTCTAAACCGACATCTTCCACTCCTTCAAGCTCGTTTTCTTTTTTGTCTGGGAAGTTTGAAGATTCACCCTCTCCACGTGACTGCCCACGCGTGGCTTAGCGTGTTTCAGGTGTGGATGCCTCGGGCCATCGCCGAACGGGCCACTTGATGCCGCAGCAGTCAGGCATAACAATGCTCCTGCTCTGCTCTGTCTCTCCACATGCCTTTCTGCCTTGCATGGCTCATAGTAGCTACTATTTACCCACCACGCCCCAGCCACTAGACAATAACCAGCCACTCTAATTATATCTATTTGTTCCGGATATAGGATCCGCATCTACTCCTCGTGGTCCTGCGGTGGATCTATTTCTATTCGGTTTATTTTCCATGAACCTATCTACCCGTGTATTATCCTAGGAAAAGCACAATGGGATGAGATCCGGCATTTCAATTGTCTATTGATCAGAAGGGTCTAGTCAAACAAAGGTCAAAAGAGTGACTGTTATCAATCCCGGCTAGGCCCGCCGAGCTCGAGCGGTAGAAGAGAATGTAAAAGCTAACCCGCTCTCTTCGGAGGGTATACAATGCATTCCAAATCCCCAGCTATTGGGAACGCAAGGGATCCACATCCAAAGCAAGGTCTTTTCAATCAAGTGCTCCCAGCCAAGGCAGCACTGCTTGTCCAAGGTATATGTGTCGTGATGACAGTCGTCAATGTGAGAACTCTAAAAGGCGCCACTGAGGTTGGTGTTGGCGTCGGGGCCGGCGTCAACGAACCTGGCGCAGAACTGCTTCCAGCCTCCGCACTATCAGTGCTAGATCCCATCACCTCGGCAAACTCAGACGGAATGGCTGCGCTGTCGAGGGACTGATCCTCCACATATCCCTCCTGGACGTGCGTATGAGTTGTAGGGATATCGACCACATCCACATCAATGCAAGTGGTGTAGATTTCCTGCTTGCCGTTGGGGAGTGACGGGTCCACGCCAGGAGCCGTGGGCCAATTCCAAACCCAGTAGAGAGTATACGGCTTGCCTGTAGGTGCATTCGATGGTAGCGCGATGTCCTGTTGACACCACAAATCTGCGCCCATCAATTGGTCCGCCACGTGGGGGTACACGGCTTGACGATGTTCGGAGATATTGCCATTGTTGATCTGATAGCAACGGCCGTCATCAAAGTTTTGCTTCGACAAGAGAACGCCGCGTCGATCCCCTCCCGTACCGTCGCGATTCCAGGAATTGAAGACGTCCAGGAAGTTCTCCTCCTCCTTTGGCTCGGTGGTTCCGTAAACGTAGATTGTCCCTCGATTCTTCGGCTTTCCCGGTTGATTCCAAGGTAGAGTCACATGGCCGTTCTCTTGGTAACGAAGAGCGATGGGGGAGCCGGCAGATGCCTGCAGCCGCGGGCTACCCTCGGTCTGGTTTCGTGTTCGCTGCGTGCTTTTGCACATCTTGTCGGTGGGAAGAATAAGACTCTGGTTGGCTCGATCATTTGGTGGAATCAGGTAAGTCATGGTCGTGTCGCTGAACCCGGGAGTAGTGCGATGAACATTGCCTCGAGCGTAGCCTGGGGATCCGATGAAAGTTCCATTCGCTGCGATGGCAAGCAGCTGTTCGATCCACGAATGTGCGTTTGCCGTCGAGAAGAGGAGGACCAGCAAGAGCAACCTCAGAGCGCTGCTGCAAGGTTGGCTTGTGAGCCCCATCTTATATAGCCACTGTATGTTTTCTTTAAATTGCAAATCAAGATACACAGTATCTTTACTCGGATAGTGCACCAACCAGTGGTGTCTATAAAGGTGGCAGTCTGTTTGTAGTATTAGTGTTTAGAAGAAGGTTGACCGGGGCAATATATTGAGTGAGAAAGGATACGCACAAACTATATACTCATGCCCAAGAACACTTCTAAGCTTCCCGATTCGATCCTCTGTGTTATCGAAGTACCTCAATAGGCGGCACAACAACAATAGGAGGGACAAAGAAGATTTTGGCAAACAAAGCGATTGTCTGGTCACAAAAGGCAGAGACTCAGCAAGTTGACAATAGGACGAACCCACAATAAGTATTCATCTGAATGTCCCGCTCTCCATCTTTATCTTCTTCTCTTTAGCCCGTGTTTGCTCGCAGCCCGAAAGAAAACATATGGGGATCGACCACAATGCCCAATGTGATCAGGTCATTTGAAACACGCCCATCCTGGCAAGTGAATAAACCAGCGCCAAGAGGGATTTCCTTTGCAGGCGCTAAGGATGATGCCAGAAACGATTGGAAGTCATCGTCACGGTCTATTCATAGCCAATCGATCGCCATGCTCGTCCTACCAAGCTTTTCTGGTTCCCGATATGTCACAGATAAAGATCTTGAGTCATTGGTAGTAGCTGCTGGATTGAGCCGTACGACAAAGCTGATTGAGTCAAGCGTGCAGAGCAAGGTATCCTGGGCATCAGAATCTGAAATTAGTAACAGCGCTTAGTCTGGTTGGAGGCAAGATCTCATGACAGAAAGTGTGTTATAGACGATCTCCCGTGTTGCAGATGTGAAGACGTTGAAGACCATCAAGGGCGCTAATTGGCTTGGGTATCCTCAGTAGCGCTCCGTTGTGCAGAACTAATACAGGTGACACACAAGAGACATGTGTGTCTAATTTTGCTCTATGACTTGCATCAAGGCTTCAGAATTCTCTGTCGCCTACCGCGCAGACTTCTGCTGATATTGGGTGCAGAGGCGCCGTGACGGGGATCGCTGAAACACGGGCGCCCCGCCCTCTCTAGCCTGAGCAAACAAAGCGCGCTGACAAGACTGATTTCCCAGACAAGCTAAATAGGTGGTCGGTCAGTAGTAATTCAATTGGTCCTGGAATAACGAAGCTGCATCTGAATAAAGCAGAAACTTATAATGTGATCTGTCAGCTATCAAGCTTTCCGCCAGTCCTTCTAGTGCCTGTCGCATACCATGCATGAGATGGGTGACAGGTCTTCTCGGGTACCACATTATAACCACATTATCCAGGGACACATCCACAATGGCCACTGCAGCTTCTCAGCGGCCTTGTCCGTTAGCAGACTCAGCCAAAGCAAAGAGCTGAACCTGTCGCACCTGAATGTTTCTTCCACGCTCATTTTGCCCTTCCTTGGCGACTACGCGATCTCCACCGTCCCCATTGCTGAATCAAGTAAAACCCAGCGTCTCCGACCGTCGACGGTCCCATCAGTACCAATCATATCCAGACTCTGGCAACCTCTGATCCCGCGAGCGTTGTCCGACTACGCAGAAGCCATCGAACAAAATAAGACAGGCAAATTCGATGCCGTAATGCGATTTACACATTCGAGGCAGTTCCAAACCTTCGTGTGCTCTCTGTGATATCACTCTGATCGCACTGGATTGCGTACGCGCTTTGGCCCGCACGCGAAATCTGGTTTTTCTTTTGGGTTTCCGAGATCTGCTAGTCGCTCGGTAGGGATGCTGGTTTACAAAGTAGCTGAGGTCTCATGGGCCAGCAACTTATCAAGGTTTGGACACCAGAGCTTCCGCTCATCCGTCGGTATACACACTGATTTCAGAAACATATTTCGAAGCGAAACAGCAACGACCCGGATGGAGCCCTTTTGTGGCAGAGATGAAAAGATTGATTAGATGAAAATAGGTGGGTATCGTGCGTTATCTCCGATGAATCACGACTCTTCAGTGGCCATGGTCTCCTTGTCCCGGTGTCCACCGTCCCACCCATCCCCGAAAGGATGAGGGAATATTCAGGACCTTGGGCTGCAGGTTGGAGTCCGATGTGGATGCAGCTTCAACCCAGATTGGACACTATGATAGAACTGGCGATGGTAACTTACTTTAGATTACCTAACGCATTCAAGGCCGTTACGCCTTGCATGTCAAATACAAGCTGCGTACGAAGTCGAAAGATGTGCTTTCTTCACAGCTCTCCGGGCGCTGATGGTGATCTTCTTTTGATTATAGAGAGTCATTGGTTGATGAATTGTTTGCGACCTGCAGCCATACGAGACAGTCTTCTTCACTGAAGAGTGTGACTAACGGTGTCTTTACTATGACTGTAATATGCCATTAACTTGGATGTAATGACGATGCTACGACGGATAGTACATGTTTCGCGACCCTATTAAAGAGCCGGTATTCCTGTAGGTCCCTTGCTTTTGAGCAGACTCCTGGGCCATTATTCAAAAGAAGCGGTCTACTGAAGACTTGGATGATACTGCCGAGTCAGTCCAATCCATTTGAAGCAAGGTTGATGACAGATGGAAGAGTGCTTTGATAACGCTCTGGCATGTCATCGAAGAAAAACTCCGTTTAAGTTAGTCCGCAAAACATCTAGATGACCTGGGACGCTAGTAAGGCAGACCCTGTCACGATGTAGTAGATGTACCAATCGCGCTGCTTGCCGGGAGGCTGAAGTTTCTGTTTGCCCGTCTTGGTTTGCCCGGGCTTCAGGGGGTAGGGCCGGGAATTATGCAAATGGTGACACTAGACACCTTTGGAATCCTGTGTACAACGTAATCTGCGATCTGGTTCGACGGACTTTTGTGTCACTTGATTGCGTTTGAGCTGAGGGTGGCGGCGGTGGTTTCAATACAGCTCACATCATCCCAAGTGGTATGAAGGTGGTTATATGGAGTGGGTGGATGGATGGCCTGAGGCTGGCAGCTTCCCGATAAGCGGAGTACGGTCAGGTTGGTAAAAGTACGGATTGGCTGGTAAGGGAATAATACCCACCAGGCAAAAGAACAATGGTACCGTTTCCAGGCTACTAAAACCATCCCAAGTAATTCCCGTTTGGGCTGGTCCGGTCCTCGCTACCTCGACTCTGCTTCCTATTTGAATTCTTTATTGTCGGCCGCTCCCCCCTCCTCTCTCTCCACTCATTTCCTTCCTTCTTCCTCTTCTTTTTCTTCTCCCATTATTTCACACCCAAAGGTCTGATCGACGGCTTGAAGAGTCGATCCTAGGGTCCTGCATAACATCTGCCTTACTTACCAGGATTGTTGGGAACCTGCTACCGACACTACCCACGGACTATCAGCGGACCGCATATCCGCGCTTGCCTGTAATTGGTCGCGCTCTTTGGGCGGTCTTGTGGTTCAAGCGGCGAAATTCACGGATTTACGATAATCCCACCGCCTGTGTGCCACGCCGTGGAAGTGCTTCCACATTTCGTTCCTCAGGGGCAGGAATCGACCTGGAAATCCTTAAAGGGGTGTATTCAGTCAGAAGCCGTTGCTGGGAACTTGGCTCCAAGGCATAGCAAGAAGACGTGCGACATCTTCTCCGCTGCCAGGTAGGTTTCTTCCCGCGCTTCCCTCTTTCGCCCCCGTCGGCATTCCAACGGTCTGATGTACTGATCGCACGCCTGCTATCATCCCTGCAGTCCCGATAAGCAACACCTGGTTTATCGCTTTCGCCTCATGCCATTGACATTGGAGGAGGTACCCATAAGGTTCTGACACCTAGGAGAGTCTTCCGTGTGAAGCGTGGGACGGTGCACGCCAGTCATTTTTTTTCCTCGCAGGGTTTCACCGCGTTCACCCACCGTTCTTCCAGAGCGCTTTTCCCCTCCAAGACGTGGTCTACACCGCTCCTTTCCTTCGAATTTCTCGTCTGTCGACAACAATCATGGCCGCGACTTTGATCCCAAGGAAGTTCCGGTCTACGGACGCGGAGGAAGATGCTGAGCCTGGATGGCTCAAGCGTCAAGTCACCAGTGGCTTGCAATTCCTCTCTCGCCGTGCCTGTCTTCATCCCATTCACACGATCGTCGTATTCGCTCTTCTTGCCAGCACTACCTACGTCGGTCTCCTTGAAGGTAGTTTATTCGACTCTTTTAGAAATCCTAAAGATGTTGCCGGCCAAGTGGATGTGGACACCCTTCTTCAGGGTAGCAGAAACCTGCGTCTCGGGGAGAGTACCTCCTGGAAATGGCAGGTGGAAGACACTCTGACTGCCCAAGACTATGATGTAAGTCGGAAACTGGTCTATTAATGTTAAAAATCAGATCAATGTTCTTTTTCTAACAACCGCCGTTCAAGCAGACTGCTCAACATATGGCATTGACGACCTTTATTTTCCCGGATTCCCTGTCGAAGTCAGCTTCCACCGGTCCTCTTGCCGATGGTGTCCCGATTCCTGCCAATACCTCCGCACAACGGGTGCCTCACACGCCCAATCTCTTCTCGCCTTTCTCCCATGACGCGTCTCTCGTGTTCACACTTCCTTTCGAACAGGTCCCTCAGTTTTTGAAGGCAGTTCAGGAGATCCCCGAACCCTCTGTCGACGAGGATGGAGGAGAGCAGAAGAAATGGATTATGCGGGCTGCTCGCGGTCCGGCTTACGGATCCAGCGGAGCTCTCAAGCTTTGGCTGGCAGACGCATGGGGTTCCTTCGTGGATTTGGTCAAGGTACTTATGCCCTTTAGTTCTAAATTTTATATGGTCTAGTCCATGCTAACCCGATGCAGCACGCTGAAACGATCGACATCGTCATTATGACTCTGGGATACCTTTCGATGCATCTCAGCTTTGTCTCGCTCTTCTTCTCGATGCGGCGTTTGGGCTCGAACTTCTGGCTTGCTACCACGGTTCTTTTCTCTGGATGCTTTGCCTTCCTCTTTGGTCTTCTGGTGACCACCAAGCTTGGCGTTCCCATCAATATGCTGCTTCTGTCAGAAGGTCTTCCGTTCCTGGTCGTAACCATTGGGTTCGAGAAGCCGATCATTCTCACCAGAGCTGTCCTGAGCGCTTCAGTTGATAAGCGCCAAGGTGTCCGGGCTGGCAAGACTGGTGGCCCAGTGGCTCCCAGCACTCCCCGGTCCATCCAGGATTCCATTCAGACTGCCATCAAGAAGCAAGGTTTTGAGATCGTTCGGGACTATTGTATCGAGATCGCCATTCTTGTGGCCGGTGCAGCTTCTGGAGTTCAAGGCGGTTTGAGGCAGTTCTGCTTCCTTGCAGCATGGATCCTGTTTTTCGACTGCCTCTTGCTGTTCACTTTCTACACCACTATCCTCTGTATCAAGCTCGAAATTACTCGCATCAAACGCCATGTCGCACTTCGCAAAGCCCTCGAAGAGGATGGGATTACCCAGCGTGTTGCGGAGAACGTCGCCGCGAACAATGATTGGCCCCAAGCAGGCTCGGAGAATGATGGAACAAGCGACGCCAGCCTTTTCGGAAAGAAGATCAAGTCTAGCAATGTCCGCCGCTTCAAGATCCTCATGGTTGGAGGATTTATCCTGGTCAACGTTGTGAATCTCTCCGCCATTCCTTTCCGCAAGTCAACTGGTCTTCCCCTGTTGTCGCGCGTCTCCAATCTACTCGCTCCCACGCCGATTGACCCTTTCAAGGTGGCCGAGAATGGACTCGACTCGATCTATGTTTCCGCGAAGAGCCAGATGATGGAGACGATTGTGACCGTCATTCCCCCAATCAAGTATAAACTCGAGTACCCCTCTGTGCACTACGCTGCTTTTGGGGAGGGTCAGTCCTTTGACATCGAGTACAGCGACCAATTCTTGGACGCTGTTGGTGGCCGTGTCATCGAAAGCTTGCTGAAGAGTATTGAAGACCCGATTATCAGCAAATGGATTATCGCAGCTCTGACCCTGAGCATCGTCTTGAACGGTTATCTCTTCAACGCAGCCAGGTGGAGCATCAAGGAGCCTGAGACCGCCGCCCCTAAAGTGGAACCCCCGGAGCCCAAGGTTTATCCCACAATTGATCTGAACAACCAAGATGGCCCCAAGCGGACTGCTGGTGAATGCGAACTGTTTTTGAAGGAGAAGCGGGCTGCCTACTTGTCAGACGAGGAATTGGTTGACCTGTCATTGCGAGGCAAGATCCCGGGATATGCTCTCGAGAAGACTATGGAAAATGAGGATCTAATGAGCCGTCTCGATGCATTCACGCGCGCCGTCAAGATCCGCCGATCTGTCGTGGCCCGGACTCCGGCCACTTCTGGGTTCACGAGCTCCCTGGAAACTTCCAAGCTTCCTTACAAGGATTACAACTACACTCTGGTCCACGGTGCCTGCTGCGAGAATGTCATTGGTTATCTGCCTCTGCCTGTTGGTGTTGCCGGTCCCCTCACGATTGACGGTCAAAGCTATTTCATCCCTATGGCTACTACTGAAGGTGTCTTGGTGGCTAGTACCAGCCGTGGTGCTAAAGCTATCAATGCCGGTGGTGGTGCGATTACAGTTCTGACTGGTGACGGCATGACGCGTGGTCCTTGTGTCGGCTTCCCTACGCTTGCACGAGCTGCTGCTGCCAAGGTTTGGCTTGACTCGGAAGAGGGCCAAAGCATCATGATGGCTGCATTCAACTCTACCAGCCGCTTCGCCCGACTTCAACACATGAAGACCGCTCTCGCTGGTACCTACTTGTATATCCGATTCAAGACCACCACTGGTGATGCTATGGGCATGAACATGATTTCCAAGGGTGTCGAAAAGGCGCTCAACGTGATGGCTACTGAGTGCGGCTTTGATGACATGGCCACCATCTCGGTTTCCGGTAACTTCTGTACTGATAAGAAGTCTGCCGCAGTGAACTGGATTGACGGACGTGGCAAGTCAGTTGTGGCGGAAGCTATCATTCCTGGAGAGATTGTTCGCAACGTCCTCAAGAGTGATGTCAATGCCCTCGTTGAGCTGAACACCAGTAAGAACCTGATTGGTAGTGCCATGGCAGGAAGCTTGGGTGGTTTCAATGCACACGCGTCCAACATTGTCACTGCTGTTTTTCTTGCCACTGGTCAAGATCCTGCCCAGAACGTGGAAAGCAGCAGCTGTATTACTACTATGAGAAAGTAAGTCATTCCTGTCCATTACAAAGCTTATGACAGGGAAACTATATACTGATTGCGATTACTTCTAGCCTTGACGGCAATCTTCAAATTGCTGTGTCGATGCCGTCCATCGAAGTCGGAACCATCGGCGGTGGCACGATCCTGGAAGGACAATCTGCCATGCTTGAATTCCTGGGGGTGCGCGGCTCTCACCCCACCAACCCTGGTGACAATGCCCGTCAGCTTGCACGGATTGTGGCTGCTGCAGTCCTTGCAGGTGAGCTGAGTCTGTGCTCTGCTCTTGCGGCAGGCCACCTTGTCCGGGCACACATGGCCCACAACCGCAGCGCTGCTCCTACGCGCTCAGCAACGCCTGTGTCTGCCGCCGTCGGCGCAGCTCGTGGCCTTGCTATGACCTCCTCGAAATGAACGGGGCGTTTAATGCATTTGCAATCGCCTCGCCGACCCGCTACGTGATGAGATTATGTACACCGATAATACTGCTACTAGCAGATTCCCTTCCCCGAACCTCTCTCCGCCCACTTCTTCCTGACCTCCAAGATACCTTTTCTGGCATTTTTTGGCCCGTCGCTACTTGGGATGGCATCTGCCGTTTGTCTTAGCAGTGCGGCAACCTGTATTGTACATTTTATAGCATATACATATTTCGTGGTTTGGCTTGTCATGTGGCCTGCGCATCTCATGCTGGACCGTGGGTGGAGCATGGAACCTCTGATGTGCTTGATATGAGTCGACCAGACTGCGGATCGATTGGCGGCGGGAAATCGCAAAAGACCGGGAGATTATCAAAACCGAGTTCTTCAAGAGCAGGAAGATTCGCTGTTTGAAAGATTCGGTCATGATGTTAATCGGATTATGTATGGAGTAAGATATCCAGGGGTTTTGTTTCAAGTTTATTTTCTGTTCCTTCTATTCTTTTCTTTTATTCTTTTCGATTTGGGGTTCATTCTCTTCTTGGGATTGTCTATGCTCTTAGACTCTGAGCCATTCCATAACATTGAGCAATGTCCTCCGCGGCAGACATTACATGTTTCTTGTCTTGTCCACCGTGCGAGGAATAGTATCTAGACGGGGGGAGAGAGAGAAAGGCGTGACCGTGACCTTCCCAGAAATGTGGAGTCGGAGGCACGGGATCTCCGCTGAAAGTAACCAACATACTCACTTCTGGCCGGACTGGGCTCCTTCAATTGCTTCCTTGCCCCTGATAGATATGCAATACACTTAATACATCTAGTCTCCGGGATGCCGGGCAGTGCTGGGGTAAGTAAAAAGTATAATTATAGCCCAGGCAACGAGACGAGCGAATCTAGCTCGAACGCACGGGAAAGAAAGCAGAGAAGAAGCGACAAGGAAGATGAAGGGAAGGTCTGGACCCCAAAGATCAGAGGATTGGAGGATGGCCGAAGCAGGCAGTAATTTGAGCACCTCCTGAACTAGCCTCGAACTATGTGGAGGCGCGCACTGGGTGAGGAAATGGAGCGAGCGTTGGGGGCTGGGCCAGAATGGGAAACTCATTCGACTCAAGAGTACATCCAGCAAAGCCGTTCCAGCGATTGTGTGCATGTAACATGCAGCATCGAAACATGCTTGATGACTTCATTTTACTTGCATGTTACTTTATTTATACACCCTCTAGCGAATCACAATCCATGTGGGAAGGAAGGAGAAGCATGCTGCTGAAGAATGGAGGAAGGGGAGAGTGAGTGTCTGTGTCAGTTCTATCGGTTCCGCGGTCGGGGAAAAGGGAGAGTTGGTACTAACTCACTAAAGAGAAATGGGGGGGCCACACAGCATCACCGCCACACCGGGCGAGGCTCGATCGGTTCCTGGCGGATGGGCGGTGGAGTATTATTTTGCAACTTGTCTTGTCTGGTCCCGTACCATACACAACCTACTTTAGCACCCAAAGATTGAGGGCAGGATGAGCCAGTCACGGTACTGTCTTTATCCCAGGCGATCTTTGGCTTCTGGTAGGTAGGGTTGAAGAAGGTGGTTGTTTGTGTCTCAGAATGTAGTTGTAGCAACCCACTCAAAGTTCTAGTGCCCGATGTCATGATGGAAAATGTCTCAGGTTTACTCGCGATAAGTAAGGATGGATCATGGATAAGAATGATAACTCCAGCTGATCGCACATCCAAGATCGCAAAGATCCGTGGAGAAAAAGTAAAGGTAAGTTGAAAAAGAACTTGTCCGCGACAGGCGCTTCTGGCATGGAGGTTGAGGTCGTACGAACATACCGTACCATACCTTCCAGGTATGTATGGTATGAACGGAGTTCTTTCCAAGGTTTCTAGTAAGGTACCTGTGTAGGTATTGTGGATGTATCTTCCATCAGCCGCCAAATAATTTCCCGTTCCAAGAGGAAGAAGTGGTCGTTGGCTCTCTCACTTGCTCACTCACCATCGTGTCCGCCCGTCTCTCCCCCCCCCCGGCTCCATCTTTCTAGCCTAGCCCATCTCTCATCCATCTCCATTCATTCAGTCAGTCAGTCAGTCAGTCATTCATTCATTCAACCTTTTCCCCCTTGGGTTCCAAGTCCTCCTCCTCCCCCCCCAAAAGAAGTTCGGCCACTCCCTAGTCCGGCCCTTTTTCCAAACTCCACTCCTTGGGGCGTCGCCAAACCCAGGTCAACTTCGGCGGTGGCTGCTGCTTCTCCCGCTGCTTGTTTCTGCCTAGGTCCAATCCCTACTGATCTATTTTCCTTTCCCCTTCCCCAAAGGCCGCCGCTTTAGGTCTTTTTTTCGTGGTCGCTACAAATTAATTTATTAAATTTGGTATGCCTGTTGGTGACCGGTCGTATCTCCGTGCCGACTTCTGTTGACACAGGTGCCTCCGGCACGTTCTATTCTACATTCCGCATCGGATTTCTCCTTCCTTTGTTTTCATTCTGTTCGGAGGAAGCATTAGCCCCCTCCCAGTCGCAGCGGCCGTCCATTCCTTATCACCCGCCACGAGCGAAATCCTCCGATTTTCAGATACCTATACTCAGTCCTCATCAATGGCCTTGGAGTCGCAACCTCACCCTACCTCGGATGCATAGTGATAAGCATATTGGCTTTGGACCGACCCATATCTCCCCTTCCTGTTAGCGAGCACGGAGCCCCCGGGCCTACCGACAGCAAACCCCCCTATGAACGCTCCCTCCGGGACTATGTCACCTGTCTCCGTGGACGGGAGTGACTGGTCCGGCATCAATCAGTATCAGAAATCGGATCCTCCTTTCTCCCCGACCTTCTCGACTCGCAGCGCCCTTGCCACACCCCCTACCTCCGGCGTACCCAGCGGTTCAAATGGCGCAGGACTGACAAACGGTTCATCGGGCCCGGTCAGCGATGCCGGGAATCCCTCTCCCCCGAGCTCGGTGGCAGCACGATCGAGCGATGGTACTTTGTCGGATCAACGCAGCAAGCGACACAAGCAGATGGAGGAGGTCCTAGGCCAGCACTACGTTGCCCTCAGGAGGTTCCTTCATGCGTCCCATCGTGATGATCGAGCAAGCAAGTCAAGCAAAGCCCGCGACAAGCTGCTACGACTCTCCGCCACTCAATTTCACGAACTAAGTACCGATGTTTATGATGAACTGCTCCGGCGACAAGCAGCCATGCCGACTCCGAACCGACCCCCTCGCCCTGATATTCCCCCGTTCCTGCCACCGCGCAAGGACTTCCATGAAAAGCGCAATCAGGCGCGCCAAAAGCTCGCTTCGCTTCAGCACCAGCGTTTCCGAGATCTCGCGACGGATGTCTATACCGAGTTAGAGCGACGGTTTCCTCAATTCCCTTCTAGAGAATCTCGTCGGTTGAGTCCGGCTCCCAGCTACCGCGGACGGCCATCCAATGGCTATCCACCGAACGGATACCCCCCGACGCCGGGAGGGCCGCGTTCGCAGTCTCGTGGCCCTCCGTCTCGAATGGGCTATCCCTCTGGTGGACCTCCAGCAAGTCCGATGTATCCCCCACGCCAAGGGTCACTTGGTGGGCCGCCGCCAGGCATGAACGGTGATGGCCCAATGGCTAAATCATTCCAAAGTAACACTATTGTCCCGAACAAGAGTACTATGATCGAGGACGATGATGATGGAGCAGGTACGGAGGACGATTATGATGCGCGGAGCGATGCATTTGCTCTAGATGCGGTTCTGCAAAGTCGGCGGGGGACGGGGGCTACTCTAGCAGACGCCGACAGAAAGGCTTTGGCGGAAACTCAATCCCAGGTTTCTGCTTTGCAGGATAAGGTGAACAAGCTCGAGGATCTGCTGAAGTCTAAGGATGAGGAGATATCCAAGTACCAGGAAGACCAGAGCAAGGTTGAGACCTTGGAGGATTTGGTCAAATCCAAGGATGAGGAGCTCATTAAAATCCGAGAAAGTCAAACCACGTCAGATGTAGGCAGACGATTTTTCTCGACTTCCATTGGTTGCGCTTGCTAACCGGATTCACAGGTCACTAGCAGCGAACGGCAAGAATGGGAGGATCTGAAGTCGGATCTGGAGAGCAAAATCTCCCAGGCCGAGGATCTGAACAGCAACTTGCAGCTGGAACTGGACAAGGTTCGGGCCGAGCATGAGGCCATTGAAAACGACCTCCGGAGCCAGTTGGAAGAAGCATCACGGCAAAACACTGGAGACCCAGAGCTGCAGGCCCGCTTTGCTGATCTTGAGATCAAGCATCAAAGCCTGCAGACCGAGCTGCAAGAGCAGCGGTCAGTGACAGAACAGGTCAGACGGGAGGCAGCTGGCTTCTTGAGGGAAATGAGGGAGTTGTCCGAGCAAAGTCAGTCCCGGTGGGAGCACGAGGAGCAGCTTACGACCGAGGTTCACAGATTGGAGGAACAAGTCAAACAATGGAAGACCCGCTATGAGAAGGCAAAGGCGCAGGCAGGACACCTTCGCACATCATCTATCGGGACAGAAATCCGTTCCGATGCCGCAACTCTTACGAGAGATCGTGATATCTTCCATGAAAATGGCTTGGTCAAGGATGTTCATGTCGCGAAGTTCCAGATATCTATTGACGAATTGCTACACACTGCACGCCACGAAGATTACCATGTCGTGACACGCCAGATCAATGCTGTTGTTATGGCGGTACGGCATATGCTGCAGGACGTGCAAGAAAGTCAAGACCCTAGCGATGGGTCATCGGCACTGCGCTCGAAGGCTATAAGCAAGCTTTCTACCACTGCGAACAACCTGATCACGGCAGCAAAGAACTTCGTGAAGTCCAATGGGCTTTCACCTGTCTCCCTTCTGGATGCCGCTGCTTCTCATCTGTCGGCTGCTGTTATTGAACTCATACGCCTCGTCAAGATCCGATCCACTCCACCTGATGAGTCCCATGAGGACGACGACGACGAGGTTCAGTTTAGTCAGATGAAGTCCCCGGACTACTTCAGCGTGGCTCCTAGTCAAAGCCGACACAGTCGCAATGATTCCGTCTACAGTGCCATGAGCCTCCCGCCTGACGCTCCCCACGGAATTTCGGTGGCAGTGCAAGACTACAGCGCGCAAGCCGAGAACCACGAAATTCAAGAGATGAAGGTAAGTTATAATATCTCTAGATACTGGTAATGTGTACTAACTGAGGCGACAGCTTTACGTTGAGGATCAGACAAATGGCCTGGTTCAGTCAATCCAAGCCCTCATCGACAGCATTCGAGCCGATCGTGATTTGACCACGATCAGCACCCATGTCTCTGCTATCTCTTCTGTGGTGACGAATGTCACCTCGTCGGTTCAACACTTTGTCAAGAGACCAGAGGCTAGCCCGGCTCTTCGGCAACGCATTGATCCTGTCCTCGAGATGCTGGAATACCACAAGCACCGCCTTGTAGGCGCTGCGGCCGAGGGTGAGGCTTCTAGCAGTCCTGAGGGGCTCCGAGAAGTAACCAACAAGCTTCCACCCATTGCGTTTGAGATTCCCCGGGTAACCAAGGAGCTTGCTCATCAATTGGACCCCGCGAGCCTTGAGGAGGAGGACGATTTCCGATAGTCTATCCGCCTGAGGGTCATCATGATATTGTTTCTTTCTAGGCTTCTTCAGCCCGAGAATCGCAGTGGCGTTATTCTCTTTTCACTTCTATCTCTTTCTAGCATGCTGATTTGGCACCATGATACCAACCGAACTGCTGGACCTTGCAATCTCGCTTTCCTTACTTTTGCAGTTATCACGCATGACAACGAGCAACCATGTGGAACGACGTGTTGTAATCTGGTGGAGCTTTACGACAGATTTTGTTTTCTCCCAGACGCACCCTGATTTCAGGAGCGATGTACTTTTATTCCGCTTCTCCCTTTCTTTATCTTTTGTTGATTTATTTTGGATTTGCGGTTGATATTTTTCTCTGCTTCTATTTGATTAGCGCTTTTTTCTTCCTTTCTGCATGATGGTCCTTGTAGGACTGGACTGATTTCGTCTTTCTTTCAGAATTTATACTGCGGCATTTTCTTTACACGTTCAACCTCCCCCGGATTTGCTTCTTCTTTTCTGACATTCGAATTGACCATACGGGGGTCTTCTTTCTCTTGTGTGCCGTGGTTATTGTTTTCCTGGAGTCCTTTTAGATGGCTCGATAGATAGATTTGGTGATGGTGGTATACGATTGGCTGCGGCCATTGCTTTCCGCGATGAATGGAGTAGTAAATTTTGACAGCTTTCCTGGTAGATATCAAAAAATCCAAGAATTGCTTTACTACTACATGGTAGACAGGTGTGTTGAGTGGTCAATCACGTGTCCGACCAGCTGTCTTAGTGCTGTTGTAGAGGTGAGAACCATTTCTGGTTCTGGAAAGCTTCCGACCGAACCGGGTCTTAGCTAATCATGAGCTATCCCCGGTTGGGGCAGTAGCAGGAATATTTTCCTCCGCTGTCCGACGCGGTTTCTCCAGTTCTTTTTGCTCTCCACGCCAGCAAAGCAGCAAGCAACCAGCTACCGCAATTCGTGAGACGAGATATTATTCTTTTCTACCTCAGTTCTTTTCTTTAGATAGTACTGTAAGTGATGCATCCCGATTGCATTGGCCGTCCCCGATGATATAAGGGGACCAATGGCAGTTATCCCCCCCCCCTGGTCCGATTGCTTTGGAGTGAGCAAGCTACTTAAGTTACTACTAGAGTAGCTGGTAGCTACTCACTTCACTACTGGACGGTCGGAGGACTTCCATGTTCTTCCACGGAGCGGCCTGAGGCCCACGGCGGATGGCCTGGCAAGTTGCATGATTGGCGCGCATGGGCTGACGCACAGGACGGAAGCGGTTAGCCAGCCAGTGCCCCTCCAGCAACAATGTTCTCCCGAAGCCTGAGGTCAACAATAACCCCACCTTGCTCGCCCTTCGCTTCTCGTCCCCTCTTCTCCATCCCCAATTGCAAGCAATCTTCCTTCCTCTCTCTTCGTCCTTTCCATCAATCATCCGCAGCCATGTCTGGAAACACTCAAGCCTTCTTTGAAGTTCAGTACGCCCCCGTGGGCTCCAGTGCCCGTAAGTTGTCCTCTTCTATTCCTCATCGTCCTTCGTTGCTGTCGTCACCCTTTTTCCTGCATGGATGATTTTACCCCTCCTTGTGAAGAAAATGGGAGTGCTGGGATGTCTTCCATAGAAGGAATTCTCCCACAATCGCGATTTTCTTCTCATCCTTGGACTAAAATGCATTCTCTCAATGCTTGCTGAATCCTTTGGCTGACTTTGAACTCTTTCCTGCTCTCTAGCCAAGACGGGCCGTATCGTCTTCAACCTCTTCGAGAAGGACGTCCCCAAGACCGCCCGCAACTTCCGTGAGCTCTGCACCAAGCCCCAGGGTGAGGGTTACAAGGGCTCTACCTTCCACCGTGTCATCCCCCAGTTCATGCTCCAGGGTGGTGACTTCACCCGCCACAACGTGAGTAATCCTGCTATTTTAATCCGCCTCCGTGGGCGGCTGTATGGGAGAGACCGATTTGACTGATATCATCATCCAGGGTACCGGTGGTCGCTCCATCTACGGTGAGAAGTTCGCCGATGAGAACTTCATCTACAAGCACAACAAGCCCGGTCTCCTCTCCATGGCCAACGCTGGTCCCAACACGTAAGTTCTACTATCACTCGTAAAATTACGTTTCAGACAGCTAACAGCATCTGCAGCAACGGCTCCCAGTTCTTCATCACCACCGTTGTCACCTCTTGGCTCGATGGCAAGCACGTTGTCTTCGGTGAGGTTGCCGATGCCGACTCCATGCAGGTCGTGAAGGAGATCGAGGCCCTCGGCTCCTCCTCCGGCTCCATCCGCTCCAACGTCAAGCCCACCATCGTCAACTGCGGTGAGTTGTAAGCGGTTTTCAAGGATAACAGATGGCAAAATTGGGATATCATCCCACGAGCTGGTGTAAACCCAGCATTGTGAGGATTAATGGTGGACAATTCTCTTTCTCCCTACCCGGTGTAATCTAGAGTGTCCATACCAATTGTCAATAAGTTTCCTTCAAGCTTGTACCATCGTATTGCAGTAACTATATGCATTTCTCTAAATCTTACGGTATTGATAGAAAGATCCAAGTAATATCCACCTCGTAAATAGCCACACAGTGACGAAATCCCTACATAACCTACCTCTAAAATCAGCCAAATATCCCACCGAACGTGGCAACCTAGACTAGCACTAAACCCGTCCTACTAACAATTTAACCCCGCTTCCAACACACACACTCAAACCCTCTTTTTCTCCGGTGGGGAGGGGGAGGGGAGGGGAGGGGAGGGGAGGGGGGCAAAGCAGTCCAGTCCAGTCCTCAGCTGGCAAGGGGCAATTCGAACCTCGGATTGGTTTCCCGGTTCCGAATACGGCCGGCTCGCATTCCCATTCCTATTCCTTGCTTGCTTGCTGCTACTGCTGCTGCTGCTGCTGCTGCTGTGTTGCATGCAGGTGGCTTTAATGAGACTACTATCTTTACCATAGGGCAGTGTGAATAGGTCTGTGTTTTGTTCATTCATTTATCCTGTTCCTTCTTTTCTGGCCATATGACTGGGACTTAAATATAGTATTTTGTCTGTCTGCATAGTGTTCCATAGTTAGATGGATGGTTATGTATACGTAAGTTAACTGATTACCTTGGAAGAGAGGTTAGTAAGGTGAAAGTGAGGGGTTGAGGGCTGGCCAAGGCTGGGATGGATGGGGGTTCAGCTGGGCTAAGTAAGCTAAGCTAAAGTATGATGTGATCGGAGAGGGAGTATGGCGTAGTGGTGTTAGTTTCAAGAGTCCCATTTATTTCAGTCAGTGAGAACCACACTTCTCATGATGTTCATGTAGTATTCTATCTATAAGTTGTGATATAGGTGATTCTCAGGCATTAACTTATCTAGGAGATAGTGTATGATATCATCATATTATCCGGTAGTGTTTTCTTTCTCCTTTCTAATGAGAGAATAGTCATTACGTGTAGTCTTTATAACAGGCCTAATGTATCCAGACTCTTAGTAACATTGTGTCTTATGCATGATAGATGTATTGATCTATCATCACCGGTGCTATCCCTTGATACTCACAGTCGACAAGTAGTATCTCACCCCGAAGAAAGACTCCAACATACACATACAACATCTCCCACCCTATCCACCCTCCAACACATCTAAAACCACACCCCTCTCAAAGATAGCAATCACCGCAACATCTCAATACCAACAGACAGCATGTCAAACTAAGCTCCAACACCCACCCACCTAGCCGCAGCATCTAGTCACGGATGTGGCGTCGTTCCTGATCCTGAACATACATACACACTCATCGTCAGCTACCAATACCAGCAGACAGCACAGCATAATCCAGTAATAATAAGGGAATCACTCACTCCCTAGTACCAAGATCCCCCCACGAAAAGAGCAAAAACCCCACGAACGCCCCAACAAAGATACAAATCACAAAATACCCATTGTAGTACATCCCCAGCAGCATCACAAAATACGCCACTGCAAACTGCAATACATGCAATGTGGCTCGGACGAGTTGCTCGATATTGCTAGGTCTGAAGATGAATTTTGACTGGTTCTCGGGGTGTATACTAGGATGTGATGTAGTTACTGGCGCATTAGGCATTGGTTCATTATCTTCCTCCTCCTCTTCTACTGACTCCGGAACAGGAGGTAGAGCTGAAAGTGAGCCTGACTGCGTCCATGGGATGGGTCTTTTGACAGGTCTGTCTGTGGAAAGGTCATTAGGGACTGTGATGCTGGGTTTATCGTTCCCAGTATCAGTATCGGTGTCTTGAGATTGGGCCTTAAGTCTGGCGCGTTTGATAATAAACGCATCGTATTCGGTAGCAACCCGACGGAGAAGTTCTAGACATATGACGAGTAGGACGACTCCGATGCAGGAGCCCGCGAACATGCTTGGGGAGGTGATGTGCCAGGATGAGGAGATGAAGCCTTTTGCTTGGGGTTAGGGTCTTGGGTAGGTGGTTTGGTTTTGGGCAGTGTTGGATGACTTACAAGCATCCATGGTGTTCCAGTTCCAGAGCATCTGGGTATGGTTAGTAGGGCGCTGGGGTTTTGGGATGAGGTGGTGGAGGGTATACTGAGATCTTGCAGTTGGTAGAGGCCATGGCCATGGGCATGGTGGTAGTGGTGCTGGCGTTCAAAATGGCTGATGTGGTGGTTTCTGTGGTCATGTTCATGTTGTTTATGGTGTTTGGGGGTTGATGAGTGAGGTGAATGAATGGAAGGATGGGAAGGGTAGTTGGTAAGGACTGTAGAGACGATTTTGAGTATTCTGGAGAAAAGAAGAACCAGCAGTGAGGAAGAGAGCAAAAGCTAGAACTAATTTTCCGACTTTGGATACGTGTATGTCAGGAGCGTGTTCTTGTATGCACATCCATCTTTCTCATGTTATTTCAGTATGAATCAGTAATAACGCGCTCTCCATAGTAGAAAGAGTCCCTGCCGCGTCAAGGGAGACGGTCTCTGGTTTGAGCACATTATGCAGGTAGCTCCTGACCAGTGGGCCCACGAGCACCCAGTGAATCAAGTGAACTGCAGACATCTACAGCAGACATCTACGGTAGCATCTAAGGTAGCATCTACAGACATCATGATTAGCAACTTGGCTGTATTCGCTGGAATATTCAAATGTCACATTGAAACGATCCATCCCGCCGCGCCCAACACCTCATGGCAATCACTGGGTATAAACAGAACTCGCCCTATCGCGCTGCCCTGTAGAAGATCCCGGATAGCAGATATAAAGAAACAGAATTCAAATCCAAGTCATCACCGGCGTGCCGACTTCTTGATCACCCCTTCCAAGATCTCCCGGATCTGCTTGCATCCGTCAATTCCCACCGCCAGCATTGTCTCAACGTATGTGCAATGCACCTTGGAGTCCATCATCAGCATTGCTACCTTCATCTCGTCCTCGTCTTCGTTAATCATAGCCGCCTCTCCCACCGGTACAGCCGTCGTCGTCCCCACCGTAAGGAACGGAAGCTCCTGCTCCTCCGGCAGAGACAAGTCCAGCAGCGGATCCAATGTGTCATTATTCGGATCCCGCGGCGTAGAAGCACTGCCGCTCATTCCTGACGTACACCCACAGAGGAGTCCTGGCATGGGAATACCGGCATCCACAAGCGCCAGCGTACAGGCATTGACCGCCGCGGCGAGAAGCGATCCGTCTGACGACAAAACTGAGACGTGAATGCTGATCGTACTGTGAGGGTAGAGGTGGGTATGAAGATGCGACTGGAAAGCAGAGCGTAGTATCGTTGCGACGCGCGAAGATTGTCTGTTTAAAAATTCGGTCAGTACCAGTCATAGCAGACACAACAGACATGACAATGGTGAGCAACGTACTTGTCACTTCCACCGGCTCTGCGCTTGCGATCCACTCCAGCAAATCCTGCAACATTGACATCCACCTCTACTACCGCACCTGCTGATCCAGCAGCACCACCCGTGGCATCACCACGACGTCCCTCTGCGGGACCGTGGACGGAGCACAGGATCGCCGTGTTGCCCATGGCCAAGTAGGATGATCCCGAACTGGCGGGGTTCGTGGAAATCTGGGCCTGGAGCAGTCGAAGCTCATTCCAGCGACGGCCATCAAGGCGAAGCTTGGTGAGGGGATATGTTGTGGATGTGTCGAGAGGCATTGTGATCTGGGAGGTGTTTCAATCGGTATGCCGAAATCAAGATGGAGGAAGTTTTGGCGTGGTTCCCCGCACCATGCGCTGTCAAAATTCGTCGAAAGAATAAGAAAGCCGGATCGGAGAGTTCAGTTCGAGCGCAGGTAATAAGCGACGCAGTTTGCAGGCTCAGTTTCAAGTCGAGGGCGAGCAATGGGCGGAGAAGAGGGGAATTGGTTGCGGAGTTTGACTTTTCGGCGCGGAATTCTTCAGTCAGCTGCTTGCCCAATCGGGAAGCCCGTTTGACTCCATCGCGTCTCCGCATCTCCATCTCTCGTACATTTGCTTCAGCCTTCCCCTCAACGGTTGGTCGGGATAGCTTCTGCCAGAGCTCAGGCGGACATGGGCTCACACGTGGAGATCGAGGATACTGATGCGACTACGGTCGGATCAGATGACGATGATCTCGACGGGACACGCCCGTTGGTCTTACAGCCTACTTCGCTTTCTGTCGCTGGTTTGTCCCCGCATCTTATCTATACCTAGTAACAAGACATATCTGACTCCTCGATGATCATAGATAGAGGCAATGCCCCAAAGTCTGAAGTGACGACTCCACGCCGGCCAACAAACACTATCTCAACTACGGTCAAACAATCCTCTTCGCCACTCGACAAGAAGAGCCACGCAGTGGTGGAGGTGTTCGAGACCGACAGCGGAGATGACTCCTTCAATGAGGGCGAGGCCGCTTACAAAGAGTTCAAGAATCGAAAGGCCACGAAACGGAAACGGAGCAGCGCAAATCTGAAGAACAGGGCTACTAAGGTGACGAGAGTCGCAAGCTCAAACTCCATCGTCGGCCGACTCCCAACTTCCGAGGGGAAAGCCCGACCGAGACGGCCATTACGAATCTACGGAGAGGAAGTGTCATCGGAGGATGAACTGATGGAATATACTTTACCGGATTATCTCCAGAAACGGCGATCGCAATTTGACCGGAGGACAGAGTATCTGAAGCAATCCGGACTGAAACTGCCTCCAGGTTACGACGATGTTGAATTCTCCGACGATGAGAGATTGGAATCTTTGGCGGAAAAGCCTACTTTTGAGAATATGAAGCCATGCAATCAGTACAAGGACATCACTCTTCCTTATTCGTTGGGACTTATACCAGCCCCGATCGCACAGTGGTTGCGCCAGTATCAGGTCGATGGCGCTGCTTTCCTCCATGAGCTGTTTGTTTACCAGAAGGGTGGAATCCTTGGAGACGACATGGGTCTGGGAAAGACGGTGCAGGTTATTGCTTTCCTCACAGCGGCGTATGGGAAGACGGGCGATGAGAGAGACGCCAAGCGAATGAGAAAGATGCGGAGAAGCGGTCACGATCAGTGGTATCCCCGAACGCTGATTGTCTGCCCCGGGACTCTCCTTAAGAACTGGATGGCCGAGCTTTCGCGTTGGGGCTGG